TCCTCCTCCTCCTCCTCCTCCGCCTCCTCCGCCTCCTCCTCCTCCTTCCTCTCCTCCTCCTCCTCGTCGTCCTCCTCCTCCTCCTCCTCCTCCTCCACCGCCGCGCCCCGCGCCGCTCGCCTAGCAGCCAGGGCCTCGGCCTCCTCCTCCTCCTCCTCCTCTCCTGCTGCTGCTGCTGCTGGCTGCTGCTGCTCCTCCTCCGCCTCCTCCTCCTCCTCCTCCTCCTCCTCCTCCTCCTCCTCGTCAACCTCCTCCTCCTCCTTCTCCTCCTCCTCCACCGCCGCGCCCGCGCCGCTCGCCGAGCCGCCAGGGCCTCGGCCTCCTCCCTCCTCCTCCTCCTCCTCCTCCTCCTCCTCCCTCCTCCTCCTCCTCCTCCTCCTCCTCCTCCTCCCCCTCCTCCTCCTCCTCCTCCTCCTCCTCCTCCTCCTCCTCCTCCTCCTCCTCCTCCTCCTCCTCCTCGTCCGCATCCCGCGCTGCTCGCCGAGCCGCCAGGGCCTCGGCCGCCCTACGGGGTCGCTCGCGCCGAGCGGCCCGCGGGAGGCGCGACCTCCCCAAAGATCCGACGCTCCAAAACATGGGAGCGAGCGGTTCTTGGCCGTGTTCGGAACAGGGAGGAGGAGCAGCAGCAGCAGGAGCAGCAGCAGGAGGAGGAGGAGGAACAGGAACCAAAGCGATCAGGTGAGGAGCTTTTGCCTCATTTTCGGCCTCTTGGGGCCCGGACCGGAACTCGGGACCGTCAAAAAACAGCCTGGGGCGAAAACCCGCCCTGGGGAAGTGGTCTGGACTTCGGGGGCCCACGCACCGCAAGAGCTAGAGCAGCCGGATACCTGGGTCGGACCCTCGAAGCACCGCCCGCGCTGCTGGGGGCCCCACGGGATCCCCCGGGGGCTGGCCCGACATCGGCCACCTCCCTGGCCGAGCCCCCTGGGAGGAGGGCCAGCCCCAGGCATCAGGCGTCTCGAAGAAACAGCGGCGGAGGTTGTTCATCGTCTTCGGCCTCTTGGTCGGGGCCCTTACCCGGGCCTTGGGGCCGTCGAAAACTTCTCGGGGAGAAAAGCCGGTCCCTGGGAAGGAGTCAACGAGGGGTCGGGGGCCCGTGTCTTGAAAAAACCAAGACGCCGGATGTCTGGGACGGCAGCCAGGAAGGCAGCACTGCGCGGGCGAGGCGGAGGTGCGGGAGAGGGAGAGGGGGGGGGAAGCAGAAGGAGCGGGAGATGGAGCGTAGGGGGAGGGGAGGGGAACTAGGGAGAGGGGAGGGGAACGAGGGCGAGGATGAAGAGGAGAGAGGCAAGAGGAGGAGGAGGAGGAGGAGGAGGAGGAGGAGGAGGAGGGCATGCAGGAACAGGTCCTGGAGGAGGGGGCTCCCGGACGTGGGGTCGCGCCGCCCGCGGGCCCACGGGCCCCTCCGCGGGCCGAGGGGGGCCGCCGGCAGGCCATGCTCGGGGTGGAAGGAGCCGGGGGCCCGGGGGGACCGTCCCCGGGCCGGGGGCCAGGCTCCCGCGTGACAGCTACCCCCTTCACAGGGGGACGTGTCGACCCCTATCTAGGGGGAAAACAAACCTACCTCGCTTTTGACCACCCTCGCTTCCAAGAGATACCAAACGATGCCAAATTGCAGCCTGTACTGGTCAGGCCGCTTGACGAAGCGGCGCGTGGTATGGCTTGGTTTTGCCTGGAAGCGAAAGCGGGGTAGGTAGTTCACGCTCTGACTATCCCAAGCTTCGTGGGGTTTTCGAGTGGGCAAGGCATGTGGGGCCCAACCCAGGGATGTGTAGGATAAAGGGGGCGGCCATCCTCCATGAGGGGTGCGTCCGATTAGCCCCCTTAGGAGGTATCCCCGAGTTCCCTTCCTTTTCTACACGGCCTGATCTTTCGTGGACGAGTCGGGGATTCGGGGCGAAAGATCGCCTGCGACCGTTTCCTCAACGGCGACACGAAAGTTGGCATGAAGTCAGCGTGTCCTGAGGGAAACGGGTCCTGCCGGGAGCGGCCAAAGACGGGGGTGTCCAAGAGGGGGGGGTGCAAATCATGACCAGCGGCACGTGCGCGGCCCAGCGGAGGGGTCAGGAACGTCATGAAATGAGAAGAGGCGCCATGAAATCTGGGGAGATATCACGGCCCCCGCCATGATAGCCCCCAAGATCGCGCTAAGATTGCCCGACAGACCTCCAAGAGGGCCCCAAACCGGCCCAAGAGGGCCCCCAGGCAGTCCCGACAGGGCCCCAGGAGGCCCCAGGAGGCTCCCAAGAGGCCCCGAAGAGGCCCGAAGGCCCCAGGAAACCTAAAGAGATTCCCAAGAGCCCCACACTATCCCGCAAGGACCCCCCCCTCTTTGCCGCCCCCGATCCTGGACCTCGGGGCCTTCCACCGCGGCCGATTTTCGCCATCCTGTCCTGTTCTGACGGGCCCGGGGGCCCAGGGAGCACCGTTGGAGACGACCGAAGACGGCGAGACAGCTCGGCACCCGTTTCCCCTCGGGCGCCCTCCCAGACATGATCGCGTCGTAAAAAAATCAGGACGGGAGGTTCTGTGCTATTTTCGGCCCCGGGGGGCTCATGCCGGGCCTCGGGACCGTCAAAAAACTACTCAGGACGAAAAACCGGCCCCGGAGAAAGGGCCGGGACTTCCGGGGACGCCGTCCTGAAAAAATCAGGACGTCGCATGTCTGGGTTGGAAACGACCGAAGACTGCGAAACAGCTCGGCACCCGTTTCCCCTCGGGAGCCATCTGCTCCTTGGCGAGGCACAGGGCAAGCAATACAGCACGAGCTTGACCACAAGAGGCCTTCCACAGGACAGCCAACCCCGAGACCCCGGGACGTCCGTGGATTTCTGGTGTGGGAACGTCACGCTTTCCATAGAAACACCATCGGAACCCAAGAAACCTGGGACACCCTGGAGGCAAGCGGGGTGTCTCTTGGCATGGCTTTCCACTGTAATGCACTTGGCGGCATGGCTTCCTGGGAGGAGAAGGCGCGCCCGGAGCTGGCGAGCTGTGGTCAGTCAGACACGCCGCGGGCAGCAGAAGAGACCAGCGCCGGAGGAAGCGCACGCACGACGAGGCAGCTCGCGCGAGGCCCCCGGCCGTCCCAGGGCAGAGCGTCACCGAGGGGGACGAGGCGGAGGACTCGGAGGGCTGGGGGTCCTCGGCCTCGAGATTACTGTTTCCCCACATCCAATGGATGGGATTCTTGCTCTTTCCCCATAGCCAAAGGATAGGGTTCTTCTTGTTCCCCATCTCCAAAGGATGGGTTTCTTCTTATTGCTCCGAACGCGCCGACTCCTCACTCACTCCTCCTCCTCCTCCTCCTCCTCCTCCTCCTCCTCCTCCTCCTCCTCCTCCTCACCCAGAGTCGTACTCAGTGTCACTACTTAGGGTCACACCCATGAGTTGAGTTACACTCGGGGTCACGGAGAGGGAAGAGGCGGAAGACTCGGAGGACTGGTGTCCTCGGCCTCGAGATTATTGTTTTGTGCTTCTGGCAACGGCCGTTGCCTGGGTGGGGGAGGGTCGGGACCCCGGAGAGCAGTAACGCTTGGGCGGGTTGGAGCACGTCGGGGCGGGGGTGCGCTGCGATCGCCATTGTATTGCGTACGAGCACCAGCATGCGTAAAGCGGGGTCCAGGCCCACCCCCACCACGCACGAACGTACGATCATAACCGTTACCCGGGGGAAGGAAGGGGGCTTGGCCTGGGCAACGACCGTTACGCGGCAGAACATGTAAAGACAATATCCTGCGTCTCCAGCACCTTCCGCGCGGCGTGCGCCGCCGAGGCCGCCGTAGCGGCGTCCGCGGCCGCGCCGCGGCGGCACCTGGTGCAGAAGGTGGAGGTCGACTGTGAATGGTCGACTACACGCAACAGTGACCCAAGGCAAGAGTGACCTCTGGTGCGCGGCTTAGGGGGCCGCGGGTAGGTTCAAATCCAAGCGCGCAGGGCAGTGTATCGGGGGGGCCCTAAGACGACGCCAGCACGAGGATAAAAATCGAGTGAAGCTAAATCGAGAACCCCTGAAGCCCGGCGGCTCTGGAGGATGTCTCGGGCGCGGCAGGGCCTCCTCAGAGCGCTCCGAGACGCTCGGAAGAGCGTCCCGGAACGCCCCTGGCACGGATTTTCTCCTCGTCCCGGCCCCGTCCGAGGCCCCCGGGAGCCCGCACCGAGGGTCACTCCGTCGAAGGCTCACTCTTACGGAGGCCTCTGCGCGGGCTCCCCCCCCCCTCCGCGCCGGCCGCCGCGCCCAGCCGTGCAGGCGTGAGCGCGGGCCGCCGGCTGCGCATACAGATCGGGAGGCGACACCAGGCTGCCGGCGGCACTGCCCCCGCAGCTTTTTGCACCTGGACTGCAGCGAGGCCCCGGCGTCGTCCGGTCGGAAATAGACATGTCTTCGACAAAAAGCACAGCCACGAAGCATTGTAATTCACAGTGTACTCGACACAGCAAAAGAGACACGCGCGCGCCTCGTGAATGAGCGAAGAGTATCAGGGAGCCGCGCGCCCGAATAGACACGACACCCTTGTCTTCCAGGGAAGCTCTTAGGCAGCGTGCCGCCCCCGGCGGCCCCGGCGACACGCTGTGCCCTGCGAGCGGATAGCGTGTCGCTCCGCTGCGCAGGGAGGGAGGCCAGGAACAGCTCGGGGCGTTGACGCCGGGGAGCCGGGAAGAGGGTATAGCGTGCCGCGCCGAAGCGTGGTGGGCCAGGAGCGACACGCTCTCCCCAAGTTCTCGGCCGTTGGCTGGCCAAGCCGATGTATGCCCTGCACGAGGATCCCCCCAGTCGGACTGTGGGCCCGATTGCACGATATGCATCCAGTGCTGGCGTGGGAGCCTCCGCCCTCGGAGGTCTAGGTGAGCCTGCGAGGTGGGAGCCTTGGCCCTCGCACGTCAAAAGACGAACAGGCGCCATCAACCGCTCTGAAACGGCATGTATTTTGAGCGGGTGTGGCCATCTCGGTCTGTGTCGATCATGCCGAAGAGCTGCTTCGACTTGACGACGTCGTAATTCAGGCCGAACTTGGTCCTGGCACACGGAGCCCTACAATTATTCGGCGCGGATGTCCCCATGTGCACTGGATAACTTCTGTGGCAGCTTCCCTGCGCAAAACTGCCTGAGTATGAGCAAGGCTGGGCGACCGCGTCCAAGTGGGTCGGCCTCTAAACGAGTCTGGGTATGAGCGGACCAAGAGGCCCGTGATGCAGCGCCAGTCGGGTACCCCTTGAGCGGTGCGAATGCAATGTTTGCAACTTCACGGTGATCAAGGGGTTCTTCTTCGCTCAAGACATGCCATACCATCTGGGCGCGAACGGGCCCACTGGCAACTCTCCCCCTTGGTTGGCCCACATTCCTTGCCTGCCGCATCGCGGTGATCATGGGGCTGTGAACAAGAGCACGGCTACCTCCGCCATGTCGCGGTGGCCACATTGCACTGAAAAGAGGCTCGTCGAACTCCAACTGGAAGTGCTTCGCTCGAGATAACTCTACTATCTGAACGCGGACGGTCCCGTGCAGTACCCCCTGGCAAAATGCCATGACATCGCTTTGATCATAGGCTCTCAAAAAGAGAGCGTGGTCAGCCGCGAACGGGCGACTCGCGACTCCCTCCTGGTGAGCCCAAAAACCATGCCAATCGCATCGACGCGATCAGAAGGCTCCGAAAAGAAACGCGTCCACAACCGCGAACAGACACTTCGCTCAAGAACCCCCTTATCGATATGATAGCGAACGGACCCGTGATGTACCCCCTGGCGGCTCCTCCTGCGGCGCTCAAGTGCCATACCTGCTAAAACGCGGTGGTCATAGGGCTCCCTCTGGCGGCTCCCCCTTTGGCAGTCCTGCTGCACCGTTATGCCCAGAGAGCTCTGACAAGGGACGCCCGCACGGTCGCGAACAGTCGTTTCGCTCCAGGCATCACGTCCTCTCAGTCCGGAGAGCCAGCGGGCCCGTGCAATCTCAACTCGCGGCGTCCCCTCGGTGGTTCGGGTGCAGTGCCTACGACACCGCGGTGAGCACACGGCTCTGAGAAGAGGCGCACCCACAGCCGCAGACGGGCGTTTCGCTGGAGACGTCCGCACAATCTGGGTGCGAACTGGCCTGTGCAATGCCCCCCGGCGGCTCCCCCTTGGAGCGTCCCAATGCCATGCCCGCTACGTCGCGGTGGCCATGCTTATGAATGAGCTGTATGCGTCAGTGTGTGTGTGTATGCGAGAGCCCGAACGAGAGTGAGTCTGAATGTGAGCCAGCCTGAGTGTGGGCAAGCCTGAGTGCGAACGAGGCTGGGTGTGAGAGCGTCATGGCACGAGAGAGCCAGAGCTTGAGTGAATATGAATATGATTGAGTCTTGACATGTGCAAGTCTATGTAGGAATGAATCTGAGTAAAAGTGGATATGTGCACGAGCAAGCTGAGTATGAAGAATCCTAAGTAGGAGTGCACCTGAGCATAAGTGAACTGTGCGAGAATCAAGGGGCATTGAGAACGAGCCTGTGTATGAGTGAGCCTAGGCATATATGAGTCCGAGCGGGAGTGGTCTGACTACGAGTGCACCGCATGAGTGAGCATGAGCGTGAGTATGGTGGTGAATGAGTCTGAATGCGGAGGAGTCTGGGACGAGGCGGGAGGTGAGGAGGCGGACATCGATGATAATATTATCCGAAAGGGGGACACTCGAACGTGTGCAAAGAGGATAAGACACCGTCTGCAACGCCCACGTGACGAGCTTGAAACGCAATTCATGTGCCACTGCCGGCAACACTCGCGGACGGATGCTGGGTCCGCGAAACCGCGCATGTCGCGAGGTTGCTCCCGAACTTGACAGGTGGGTTTCAGCCGGTCGGGGGCCGTGCGCGATTGCTTCCTAAACCCCTGTGCCACATGCGCGCGGGAACACATGTTCGACGTCATCGGTGTTGGTCGAGGGTGGACACATCTCCCTTCCATAAACCTCCCCTCAGTGAGCGCGGCCTGGGACCGACACCCTCGGACCCTGGACCCGCAGAAACTAGGGCTCCCAACTTCGCGCTTCGCGCTGCGCGAAGCGCGAATAACTTCGCGCTCTCGCGCCGCCCTCCTAAAGGGAGAATAGGAGGACGAGGAGGAGGGGGAGAAGGAACGAGGACCGCGAAGCGCGAAGCGCGAATAACTTCGCGCCCTCGAGGGAGCCCTTGCAGAAACGACGGCCGCGACGCCCTCTCGCGAACCGAAGACGGCCAACTCCTTACTCGACGCGTCAGGGTGGGAGGCCTGCCGGCCTCCGAAGTCTGGAGGCCCCGACTCCGGATCCGCCCTACTTTTGGGGGAAATTCGTAAGTATCGGGGATGGACAGACCTCCCTTTAGTAAAACGTGGATTAGTGAAAACGACTTCGGGCCCAAACCTGGCGGGCGCAAGCCTGGAAAATAACGGCCACGGCGCCCTCTCGAAAACCGAAAACGGACAATTCACTAATCGACGTGTCACTATTGGGGGTTCTGTCCACCCCCGAAGGTAGGGCTTGGAATTTCCGCCTTACTTTTCAGGCCCCGCTGATGCCAACTTCCGCCCTACTTTCCTGCTGCTGCTTCCGCCCAGTTTCTGTGGATTTCCGCCCTACTTTGCACTGGGTGCAGAAATTTCCGCCCGACTTTTTCGGCCTCTCATAGGTGGATTTCCGACGCAATTTTAAGTTGGACAAAAAAGCTAAAGTGGGGCGGATCTGGAGTCAGGAGGGGCGGCGCGGCCCGGAGCACGAGGGCCTCGGGGCCCCTCCAGAGGCCCAGCTGTGGCCGAGCGTGGCGCGTGGCCCCCAGACGCCAGCCGCAGAGGGGTCGACAGTGCCGCCAGCGCCCCCTATGCAGTGGCCTTGCCCTCCGCACCCTGTGCCCGCCAGAGCTGCTGTGAGGATGGCTGGGGCAGTGCAAAGGGGGGTCACCACTAGGGGGGTCGCCACTTCCTCGAGGAAACGCCACTTCCTCGAGACTTCCTCGAGGAACTGGGCCCCCCAGAGCCCCGACAACGCAAAGAAACGTCCAAGAACATCCTCGACCCGTCGACTCTCCATCCTGGAACCTCGATTTCCAGGAGAAGCTGGCGACCCCCCCAGTGGTGACCCCCCTTGGCACTGCCTGAATGGCACCAGGCAGACCGCTGCCGACGCATGCCACCGGGGTCGTTGATGCCACCACTCGCACCGGATTGAGGGGGCCGAACGGCCATGCTCTGTCCCTGGGTGCGTGGCCGAAGTGGGGATCCGTGGTGCGGATTCTGCTTGTTGCGTTGTTGAGTTCTCACTTCTGAAGAATAATTATTGTTGATCCCCCCCCACCGGTGCAGACTGCTTTTTCTCAATCAAAGTGTGCCCCTCGACGCTCGCACCCTGTTTTTTGACAGGGGAAGTCTTCCTGCTCAAACTGGTCCCCTGGCCCCGGGGTTACAACAACAACGGCTCCCGCCTTAGACTTCGTTACAATTTAGCCAGGACCCCCGCTCCCGCCCGAGACTTTCTCGCATTTTAGTCAAGAATCGCGCTCTCGTTTGGGACTTTCTTACAATTTATGCACGAATCGCTCTCCCGGAGTTCTGGAGTCGCGCTCTCGCTGGAGACTTGCTTGCAACTTACTGAAGAATAGCCTTGCGTTGGAATGTCCGGCAATTTGCCCAAGCGCCGCGCTCCCGACACCCAGGCACCCAGGAGTCGCGCCCGTTGTGGCCCCATGTGCATGCCCTTCGTGGCCCCGCTGTCGCCATTTGTGTCCCCCTCACTGTCCTACGTGGCCCAGTTGCTACCCTCAGTGGCCCCATAGTTGCCTTCTGTGGCCCCGCATTATCTGCACTTCGTGGCCCCCGCTCGTTCGCGCTCTTCGTGGCCCCATACGCATTCCCTTCGTGTCCCCGCTGTCGCCCTTCGTGGCCTACTTCGTGCCCTTCGTGGCCCTGCTGTCGTTCTCTCTCGCTCTCGCTTTCGCTCGTCGTCGTCGTCGTCGTCGTCGTCGCCGTCGTCTTCGACGTCGTCGTCGTCGTCGTCGTCGTCGTCGTCGTCGTCGTCGTGGTCGGTCCCCTGTCCGTCCCTCTTGGGGTCGGGTCGACGGTCCGCGGCCGCCCCGCCGATCAGCGCTGCCGCTGGCCAGGCCGACGGTCCGCGGCCGCCCCGCCGCTTGCTGGGGCCCGGCCTGCAGGGAAGAAAGGTATACCCCCCAAAGGGGGTTCGATCGAAGACGAAGAGGGCGGGTATCGAGGGTTTGGGAAATACGCGTTATTGGACACTCGAGCATATAGGGGCGAACAGACTTAAAAGTATTGTTGTTGTTGTTGTTGTTGTTGTTGTTGTTGTTGTTGTTGTTGTTGAACTCTCATTCTTGAAGAACAATTATTGTTGATCCCCCCCCCACCGGTGCACATTGATTTTTTTCGATTGAAGTGCCACCCCCGGGGCTCGCACCTTGTTTTTTTCTCAAGGAAAGTCTTCCTGCTCAAACTGTGCCCCTGCCCCCCGGGCTACAACAACAACGGCTCCCGCCTGAGACTTCCTCGATTTTTACTCAGGACCCCCGCTCCCGCCTGAGACTTCCGCGCAATTTACTCAGGAAAGGCGCTCCCGTCTGAGACTTCCTCGCAATGTAATCAAGACCCCCGCTCCCGCCTGAGACTTCCGTGCAATTTACGTGGGAACGGCGCTCCCGCCTGAGACTTCTTCGAATTTTACTCAGGACCCCCGCTCCTGCTTGACATTTCCGCGCAATTGACTCAGGAACGGCGCTCCCGCCTGAGACTTCCTCGCAATTTAGTGAGGACCCCCGCTCCCGCCTGAGACTTCCGTGCAATTTGCTAAGGAACGGCGCTCCCGCTTGAGACTTCCTCGCAACTTAGTCAGGGCCCCCGCTCCCGCCCGAGATTTCCTCACAATGTACTCAGGACTGCGCTCTCGCGTGCGACGTCCTCACAAATTATTATGGAATTGCGTTTCGGCGCTCAGGAACCACGCGCGCGCCAAGGACGCCTTCACAACGTGGTATCTTCCCTCTTCCTTCGTCCTTCCCCCTCCCCTTCCTCCCACTCTCCCTCGTTCTCCCCCTCCTCCTCTTGCAGGGCCCGCGCCAATTCCAATGGCGGGCAGAGAGATGTACGCCCCCGAAGGATTGTCCGCCTGTTCCGGTTTGCCCGTACGTCTAAGCCCGCCGGCCCCAGCAAAGAAAAATAATCCCCCCGAAAGGGGCGTGATCGAAGACGAAGATGGCGGGTTTCGAGGGTGTAGGGTATACGTGTTGAATGACTCGCGGGCAAGTAAGAGCGTACAGCCTTAAAATGTTGTTGTTGTTGTTGTTGTTGTTGTTGTTGTTGTTGTTGTTGTTGAACATTATTACTTCTAAAGAATAATTATTGTTGGGGCCCCTGGTGCACGGCCCCCTCGCCGCGCCTAGGCCGCAGCCATGTTTTCATCATTTTCGTGAGGAAGTCTCCGGCAAAACGGGTTGGTCCGGATCCGGTTGTTTTGTTCCCCCCCGCTTTCCCTTGCAAAAAACAATATAAAATGACATTTCTTGTTCTAACATAACCACATTTCAAGAATCCATTGCAAAAAATGACACGAAGTGCACATCGCCGCGGCCGCCGCGCGCGCATGTCGAAATCCTTCCAAACACAATGTGATTTCAACAATTTCAAGATGCGATGTCAAGGAAACATATGAAAACACACCACTTTCTCATCAACAAATTCTGAAAATCTGCCCCCGCGCGCATGCTGAATCCTTCCAAAATCAATGGTTTTTCAACATTCCTATCAAACGGGGCTTCGAGGGCAACTTTTGCGCTCACCTCGAACTGCTTCAACAACGTCTGCGCGCCTGCGAGGGCCACCATCCCTTGCAAAAAACGACACGCGGGGCACATGCGCGCGGCCGCCGCGCGCGCACCTCGAAATCCTGCCAAACACACTGTGATTTCAACAATTTCAAGATGCGATGTCAAGAAAACATATGAAAGCACACCACTTTCTCATCCAAAAATTCCGAAAATCTGCCCCCGCGCGCATGCTGAATCCTTCCAAAACCAATGGTTTTTCAACATTCCTATCAAACGGGGCTTCGAGGGCAACTTTTGCGCTCACCTCGAACTGTTTCAACAACGTTTGCGCGCCTGCGAGGGCCACCATCCCTTGCAAAAAATGACGCCTGCCACGTTACCACCAAAAACCAATACAGGTGTCCAGTGTTGGAACAGGGGGAAAAGTCGTATACTAAGCTAGCGTCCAGAAAATGTTACCACAACAAGTCACTATACCCATGCGCCAGTGTAGTAGCCACGGTCGTCCGCAGGCCACGAAGTGAAGTGTCCGAACGTCATAGGGCGGGAAGCTGGGTGTGGGTGGTGGCGAAGAGTCGTTTGGAAATGTGGTAGAGCTTGAACCGGCCCCCCCACAAAGTGGGGGTATTGGCGGGCGTCGTATGAAAACCCTGGCACTGGTGAGAACGGAGTGTCCCCACGTGCTAGTAATTGTTGTTGTTGTTGTTGTTGTTGTTGTTGTTGTTGTTGTTGTTGTTGTTGTTGTTGTTGTTGTTGTTTGTTGTTGTGGGATACTCCTTTCTAAAAATAATGGTTGCTGATCTCCGGAAGCGGTTCCGCGTGCTCTCGCCGCGACGCCGGCTACAGTTTCCTAGAATAAACGAGGCTCCCGCTCGATACTTCCCCACGATTTACCCCGAGACGCCCTGGCCAGAGAGGCCCCCGAACTCAGGAACGGCGCTCTCGCTCGAGACTGCCTCGCAACTCAGTCAAGTTGGCAGAGGGCCGACCACGACGACAAGGGCTCCTGCTCGATACTTCCTCACGATGTACTCCGAGAGCCCCTGGCCAAGGATGGCCCCCGAACTCAGGAACGGCGCTCTCGCTCGAGATTTTCCCGTAGCTCAGGTAGGTTGGTGGAGGCCCGGGCACGGCGGCAGGGGCGCCCGTTCGATGTTCTCCACATGTATTCCGAGAGCCCCTGGCCAGAAAGGCCTCCGAACCCAGGAACGGCGCTCTCGCTCGAGATTTCTTCGCACTTCAGTCAGTGGCCGACAGGGAAGAGATTCCCCCGAGAGGGGGTGCAATCGAAGACGAAGTGGGCGGGTACCGAGGGTTGGGGTGTACGGAATGCAGTACACGCGTGCCAGGAACGAACAGCCTTAAAATGATTGCTTGTTGTTGTTGCTGCTGTTGTTGTTTTTTGTTGTCAGCGCTCCCCCCGCGACCCACCCGCGACCCACCCCCCGACCCACCCCGTGACCCACCCCGCGACCCACCCCGCGACCCACCCCGCGACCCACCACGCGACCAACCCCACGACGCACCCGCGACCCACCCCGCGACCCACCCGCGACCCACCGCGCGACCCACCCGCGACCCACCAGAGATCCACCCGCGACCCATCAGCGACCCAGCCGCGACCCAACCGCCACCCAGCCGCGATCCATTTGCGACCCACCCGCGACCTACCCACATTTGTTTAACGAAAAAATCGGCGCCTGCGGCGGGCTCGTTGTAAAATTTGTGAAACGTTGGCGCCTGCGGCGCCTGCGGCGGGCTTCTCCAGAGTCTCGCAGACTGCCGACGTCCCCACCGCCCCCTCATTCTTACCCGCATCTGCGGGGTGCTACGGTAACCCATCCTCCTGTGGAGTCTTGTCGTCTGGTCCCTGCTCTGCCCTGGAGCAGGGGCCAAACGAGAGAGGGTGCTCCATCGTTTTGCTTCCGCTGCGCCGCGCCTTTCCTCGCCTTCTGCCTCCCGCCCCTACTCCCCTCTGCCCCCGCTGCTGCTACTGCTGCCATGCACCTGCTGCACTTCACTACGCCACTCACAAGCTTCGAGCCCCCATACGAATAGGGAGACTCAAGTGCAAACCAATCGGGAGAGCTTGCACAGCGTCGCCGCGCCCATTCCGTGCCCCCCCCCACCAGCCCCGAAAGGAACCACAACTATAAAAGGGCCGCACCTACGGGGCAAGTTGAGCCCTCGCATGGGAGATGCCGCGCACATTTCGGCACACCGTCGCACGCCTCGTGCCCGAAATGGAGCCAAGAAGACGGGCCGCGCCGGGATTGGCGCGCGGCGTGGCGCCGCCGCACCCACTTCGGCGCACGCACCCGCACGACTCGCGATCCCTGATTAACTACGGGCCGAGCGGGGAACTCACACAGCACCGCGGCGCCTCTGTCGACGCACCTCTCGCTCGTGTGGTGCCCCATCGCGTTGCGGCAACCACGGGCCAAGTGAAACAGTTCGCACAGCGTCGCCGCGCCCATGTCAGTGCACCCTGGGCTACATGCAGCTGGGAAAACGATGGGTCCTTTATCTGGGTCACGTTGTGTTGCTCTGGGCACGCGTTCCCCATGCGTGTGTGTGCAGATGCGCACCTGTCAAGGCGCGCTGAAGCCTTCTCTTCTCCCGTGCGGGGCCCAACGCTCCCCGTCCGCATCCTCTCTCAAGCTCTACAACGCCATGGCTCCGCGCACCCGCTCTGAGTATACAACTCCCGGCCCGTGCAACTGTCGAGATGCCGCGTCTGCCGGCTCATACGAAATGTCCAGCAAGCGCACCTCTTAGTGACTTCGAGTCTCCCTGGTCCCCGCATCATGGTTAGCACTGTCCACCCACGGAGAGGCTATGAGGTTCAATTCGGCTCCTCAGCTGGTCGTGGAAATGCTCTGGCGTCAGGAAGGGGTCGAGGGCCTCAAGACGATCAATGAGCAAGACTGCCGTATCTCGAAAAACGTTTCATGTTGATGGCTACTGGCAACACTACCCTGCCCGTGTCGCAAACAGTACGAGTGAATTGCATGAATGGTGCACATATCGCCGAACCGTCCAAACAACTGATCAGACCAAGCTGACAAGCACCCAAGGGACACATAAAGCGTATAAGAAACTCCGGCAACTAGCAAGAGCTAAACGAGCTTGACTGTCCAGACGATGCCGATGCAGAGACAGGTCCAAAGTACTTTTGAATTGCAAGGGACGTCGCCCACGCGATCTTGCTGCCACTGCTCTTGCTATTTCTCTTGGTTGCCGCTGCTACGACTGCTGCTATCACTGCTGATGCTACCAGTCTCGCTGCTGCTGGCTAGCACTCCATCACGTCACCACCTATTCGAGCCACTCCCGAACCACGAAAAACTGTCCACAAACGCCGTAGTTTTGTGAATGGGCAAATGGCGGTCTCAACTTTCATTGGCGCAATCTTCTGGGCTTCCTGGGGCCATGCTGCGCATCGGCATGATTCGCGAGTTTCTCGGCATCGCGTTTCTATATGACGTGAATTGCATGAGTTTGTCTCGCACCACATTCATATTTTACCCAACGCACATCTCGCGTTCGATTCGTCGCGCACTGCGGTACAGCAACATGCAATTTGCTCCTGCGTCGCTTGTCCCAGGCGCGCTTGGACCCATGTCCAAACACCTGGCCAAGCTTCCAATACCGTCAGAGAAATGGAGGGTAATGTCAATGCGAACTCGATTGGTTCACATCCGGGTGTTGTGATCCGCTGTAGGCTTCCCAAATCTGAAACTGTGTCCCCCATTGAGCTTAAGCCAATGCCGGAACAACGTCATCTGGCATGTGCCACATCTCGCCCAGCACGGTCGGAAGAAAGCGCGGAACGACCAAGTAAAAAAGGGCTGGCTTGCCCCCGTCAAAACGAAATGCCTTCCCACGCGCCTCGAAACGGAACATCATGTATCCTCTAACGGCACTGCAAGCGATGCGATGGCGGTAAAAAAGTGGGGTGACGTGGATGCCTCGCGTCCGGGTGGCGGAGACGGGGGTCCTGTAGCGCAGGGGCCCGAGCCACTCCCAGGAACGTGATGCTCCAAGGGGGTAGCTGGGCTGTTCAGAATAAGCCGAACGCCGGTGCCTGCCAGGAGGTCCCAATGAGGTCTCCAAGAGCCCCCCAACGGCTCCAAGAGGCCCCCAGAAAGGCCTCGAAGAGCCCCAAGATGTTTTGAAGAGCGGGGAGTCGATACGGAAAATGGCGAGCGGAGGGTGGACCGAGGACGATGAGGAGGAAGAGGAGGGTGAGGAGGAGCGACCGCACCTTCCAGGAATTCACGAGGCGCCTATGGCCGCATTGGGTGCAGTGCAGTGGTCCAGCACTCTTTGCCTGTCGAGTGAAGCAGCGCGGCGCTGGGCGCGGCGGGCATGATGACACGCAGCGCGCTATAGAAGTGCACTGGCAGTGCCAGCCTTCGGATGGCGTCGGATATTGCGTGCTCTGCGTTTGCGTGTTGCTCAGATGTCCCTGGGCCGATGCGGACAGGGGGGCCAGAGGACAGGAAGGCCGACGCGGCTCTGTTTCGACGCCTGTTTGGCGCTTAGATAAACATTGAATTGCCTCACTTTGTTCACTTGCCCGACGACCTACTGAGGATGGGAAGGGCAGGCACAAGGAAACGAAGCAAGGCATTAGGTATATATCTGGCGAGTGTGAGCATGCGGCGACGCTTTAAATATTGAACTCTTCCTTTCAAGACACGATCGAACATCGATGCCAATTTTTTTTATTTTTGTTTTGGGGGGGGGAGGGAAGAAATGGAGAACCGCCGCGAAGCTCCAAATACTGCCACAACGCGTACGCTGCCTGTTGAAAGCGCTGGCCTGGGCGAACAAATACCGCCCCCCGGGAAAAGACAGCCGCTTACACGAGGAGCCACCTGTGACAATTATTGCCCGGGCGAGCGGTCGGGAATGGGGCGGAAATTCGGGCAGTTATAACGATACGAATTCACGCGAAAATGTATCGGCGCTGCGACGGGAGCGAGACGAGGGGAGGAGGAGAGGGAACACCAAGACTACGAACGTGCAACACTGCCACCACGGGAGGTCCAACACCCGCTGGGAGCGCCGCAGCATCTCCTCCGAGCCGCACGACATCGAACGGCCGACGCGCAATCGATATCTAGAATTTCGCTGCAGACGCGTCCGTGGAGGCGAGAATGGCAGTACGGCGGCGTGAAACAGGACGATCATGCTCTAATTGGTGCTGGCGCTGCGCTCCGTTTAGGTAAGGTGGTACTGCTTCACTCGGTGAATGATTGCGTCGGGGTTCGCGCGGAGGAGATTGAGCCTGGCATCCCTGGGTCTTGGACACTGTCGAACGCAGCGGCGCCGACGCATTTGTTCGTGGAGGCAACGTCGATTGTCGCGCCCGTTGCGCACGCGCGCATTCCACCATCGAGCGTTAAGGCGGTCTTGCTGCATCACCCAAGCAAGGGCGCATAGCGGCTAAAACAACTACAATCGAAATGATAGGGGAAAGGGCGACATCGAAATCGCCCCCGCCTTCTGTTCCTCCTTTTGTCCCCCCGCACCACCATCGTTGCTACCCCTCCTCCCTTGTCCTTATCCCTCCTCTTCCCTCATCCTTTCTGGCGCACCCCCGTGTGTTCTTTGTGTCCTTCTCATCCCCCGCCCCCCCCCTCCCCTTCGCCCCCCTCGCCAGCCTCCCCTTCCCCCTTCCTTCCTGGCACCCCTCCCCTCTTCGGCAACAGCGAGCTCGCGCGCGTAAGTGTGCGAATTTCTTGTGTACATGAATTTGCGTACTAAACCGGTAAGACATACTATGCATGCGGGCAACATGTCCCAACCATGCGAACTGCATTCACTTGTTGGGTCGTGTGCATATGCAAACTGAGACATGTGTAGGATCAATGTATATATCAATACATGTACACACATACTTGGCTCAAGAAGGACTTTCCCTGGAAAGTTTCACGGGGAACTATGCACAAACGCACGCAATGACCGCGTGACCCCATAACCCCAACGTAGCATCCATCACCCAGGGCCCAAGCCACGGACGATAACCTCCAAGCGAAAATGAGACAACCCCATGGCCTTAACATGATCCCGGGCCTTTGCGATGACCCGTCTAATGAGCGGCGGGCGACGCAGAGACGGCCCCAAGGCCCGAAGATGGACCCAGGCACAGCAAAGCGACTCATAACTGACCGAGCGACGCCCGCACATTCCACACAAAACGCGTATGCGATCTGATAGCGACCTGACGACAACTCCAATATGCACCCGGCATCGTTCGCAAATCGACGCAGTGGGGTTTCCTGCGACTTGCAAATCATGCGAAGATGATCTCAAGATGGCCCAGCATGGCTTCAAGAGGCCCTGACGCGGGGTTTGCAGCGACAGGGCGACACGCGCATCGCCTGAGGATGGCGTCGAGAAGGCCCCACCACTGCAGGAGCCCGTGAGGTTATGAACCCCAACTTGCGTCCAACCGATCCCAACACGACGGGATCCCTCAATGGCCCGGGATTTTGGTTTACCCGGTTTTATTGGGTGGGATTCTCACCTGGCTGAAGGAAACTCATAGAATGAAGCGGGGCTGCGCTCGGCGGGATACCGCCCGACCCAACAAAAAACAATTACATCGCTCGGCTTCTAAGGAGGCAAGGGGATCCGAAGGCGCACTGTCGCTACCGCCGCATTCCGCCGCCCTCGCATTACTTCAGCCGTCTTCCGCGCGGCAAAGCCATCATAAAATCCGAAGAACTTTCATTGGGCCGACGTTTACACATACATATATATATATACATATATAGATATATGTGTGTGCATATATACAATCATGTGTATACATACATACATATGTATATATATATATATATACGTATACCATTTCTATGTATACATGTACAAGACTGCATTGGCGCTTAGCGCCAATGCAGTATTGTTCCGAACGCTTCCCCGGCAAAGCAATCAATCATCGCTTGCTTCAGAAGGGGGGGCCTGGAGGCCCGGACGGGCGACTGGCTCATTGTTCTGATATCCCTGGTGCCTGCTGACACCGCGTTCGCCCGATGCGCTTGCACGCTTGTGCACAGGAGTGGGGAAGGAATGATGTTTTTTCACGCACGAGGGTGCTGGCAAACGACGAAGCATCCAAATGTTGCGATGGCACTTGTCCATGAACGGGAACGGGAAGGGAACAGGGATGAAGGGGGGGGCTGGAGAGGCGGAAAGGGGGGGGAGGAGGGGGGGAGAACGCTCTCTCTCCACCGAGATTTTAAACCTCGAGCCTCAAGCGTGGAACCAAGATCTTCGGTTCAGCTCGATGTACGTCGTAGGAAAACGCCGTCTGGACTTTTTGGGGGCTCTTTGGGGGCGTCCTGGGGCCTTCTTGGGCCGTCTTAGGGAGCTGGGGCCCTCCAGAGGTCGTCTGAAGCCATCTAGGGCTTTCTTGGGGGCCTCCAGTGGCCTTCTTGGGGGTCTCCCATGGCTTTCGTGGGTCTCTTTTGGGAGCCTTCTGGGGGCATCTTGGGCTTCTTGTGGCCAGTCTCGGGCTGTGGGGCAGTCTTGGGGCCCTCTTGGGCCATCTTCAGGCCCTCTGGGGGGCCTCTTGGGCCGTCTTGGGGCGATCTCGGGGGCCCATCGGGCCGTCTCGGACGCTGCGAAGTCCCCATAAGCGGAAATGCTATATGTATATATATATACACATACATATACACTCTCAAGAGATAATGGGGCGATGTTTGCTTCTTCGGGGCCCTCTTCACGCCCTCCTGGAACGTCTTGGGGGTCTCTTCGGCCGTCTTCAGACCATCGAGGTTCCTCTTGGAGCGCTCTTGTGCTGTCTTGGGTCTCCCGTGCGCCATTCCGATGACACTTCTGATCGCCTTGAGTCTGCTCGCGAGGCTCCGCAAGGCGCCCTGGGAGGCCCGGAATGGCCAGCGGACCCTTTCCAAGGGCGTCCAAGGAGCCGCCGAGACGTTCGAAAGGGCATCCGGGGCGTCCCTGGGGGGGGGTCTGGTTTAAGGGTGGGGGGGTGCGGGGGGGGTCTGGGTAATCAAAACATAAGAATAGGAATATACACACCCGTTATAAAAGAAACACACCTGGGCACATGGGCTGCGCGCGGTAGCATTGATACGGCGGCGACTCGACATACACGCTGAATGGCAGCATTTTGTTTGGGCGCCGAAAATGCGCGCTCATCCCCAAGAGGCCCCCAAGACAGTCCACGAGGACCCCGAGTCGCCGAACAATCGGTGCAAGACGTCTTCATGGCCTCCTGACGGCCCACGGGGGCTGGAAGACGCCCCAAGAGGCTTCGAAGAACACTCCCCAGAGAGCCCCGAGAGGTAAAATTCATCGATGTCCCACTACTTTTTCAAGAATTCGCGCGTTATCGCCTTTTCAGCTCCCCGATGCTACAGCACGGCCCCAAAGGCTACAACGATCGCCCCAAAAGGCCCCCAAGAGGGTCCCGAAATGGACTAAAGAGAGCCCGATGACGGCCCAAAACGCCCGCAAGACGGCCTAAGAGGTTCCCGAAAGGGCTCCAAGAGGGTGTTCAGACAGGGGACCCACACGAACATGTCGAGCCTTCCGCCCCGAGAGGCCCCCAGGAGGCCGCAAGGGGCCCTTAAGAGGCCCTCAAGAGGCTCCAAGAGACCCCCAAGAGGCTCCCAAGAGGCTCCCAAAAAGGCCTCCAATATGCTCCCACAAGACATCCCAAACTGCTCCCCAGAGGCCTCTGAGAGCGCACCGAAGAAACCCCAAACAGACTCCCTCAGGACTCTGACCCACGTCGTTGTCGTCGTCGTCGTCGTCGTCGTCCCCCTTCAGGGTCGGCGGCGCCGGCCGTGAGGCCTTCGCAATACAAGCGCAGTGCAAGTTTTTTTGTTTGGGCGCCGAACGTGCGCGTCCATTTGTTCGGTTTGCTTATGTTTTAACACGCATGCGTTTGGCACTACAATTTCTGTTGACTTTGCCATCGACACCGGGGGGTGTTTGGAACGTTCGCAACAAGCTGGCTGCGCATCTGCCCGAACCAGGTTAAATCCTGTTTCAAAAAAATTGTTGTTTGGTGGGATGACGTGAAATTGATTCGATGTACAGATTCCTCTTCCTATATTTTTATAAGCCTGGGCGGGGGGAAAACCCATCCCCCCCCCCCCTAAAACCGGACCCCCTGGATCTGGAGCTTTGGGACCCTCCGGACGGGCCTCGAAGCGGCCCTCTGGCCCTCGCAGGGCGTTTTGCCAAGCCTTCGCAGCACACCCAGGGCGATCAGGGGGGTCACCGGAGACGTCCCAGAGACCCCCAAGACAGCACAAGGACGCTCCAAGAAGCCGTCATACCCCGAAAGATCGCTCCAAAACATACCAAGAGGCCTCCACGAGCACCCCCAAGAAGGCCCCACGAGGGAAAAATCATTGATTCTATGCAGGTTTTTGGTGCATTTGGGGTTCTCCTCTTTTCGGCTTCCCGACGCTCCAAGACGGCGGTCTCCTAGGCGTCCGAAGCCGCCTGGGAGGCTCCCAAATCGCCCCACAACCACCCGAAAAGGCTTCCAGGCAGTCCGAAGGAGCCCTAAAACGGCACAACACGAGTCCAAAATGGCCCTAAGAGAGCACCATGGCGGCCCAAGATGGCCCCAAGACACCCTCCGAAGCATTCCAAATCGTGACTGGGGCGTTCAGGGAGACCGCGGTTAGAGGCAGGTTGGCCTTGGGAAGCCCCAGAGGCCCCCAGAACACACTCAGGAGGTCTCCAGAAGACTTTAAAAAGCCTGAGAACTTTGGTGAGGCCCCCAGAGGCTCTCCAAGGAGGAGCCTCCGCAAAAAGAGCTAAGGAGGATGGGGAGAATGCCCAGGGTATGGCGAGAATGAAGAAGAATAAGCATGGAGGAAGGATAACGAACAACATCATTATAACGGCGATGCCAGACAAGGCAGCAAGGAGTTATCGCTAAATTGTCGGCTTGACCTTCCTGCCATTTCCGCCTGCATACCAAACTCCAAGGACCAAGGTGCATGGCGCGAAGCGCCACTGCACTCTTGTATATATATATATATATATATATACATACATATATATATACACACTAATGTATGTTTGGTTACTCGGTTCCAACGTTGCAGCTACATCATATGTCGGGCTACGGAAACCGATTCGCGACGTTGCTACAACACTCAAATGAGTTGGGACTAAGTCGGGTTGCGCACTCATGAAGTAACATTTTTTACATAACATGGTAAACCGAGTAAGTTAATGATATCAGAGCTGACACACGTTGACTTTAATTGTGTATGACTCGATCGCACGCCGGCCGCATAAATCACACCACCACCTATCCCAAGTTGAGTTCGAGACTAAGCCGGCGTAGAGTTATGACTCTGGATTGTCGGCTTACGTATCAACTTGGCGAATCATACGAACTCACAAATTGAGTACCACCTGTGAATGCATTTGTTCAAATAAAGATACAAAAGCAGACGCGCGATTTCTATCCAAGATGCAGCACGCAATGGGCCTAATTAGTGATCGTTTGCGATCAATGGTTTCTTCCCCTGGCGCGCGCCGGCGTCGCCCTCCGTCTCCTGCTGCAGTTCGATCCGGATGCGCGCCGCCTGCCAAGCGCGCGCCGGCGCGGCCACTCGACGTCATCGCCCCGAATAATCAGGGCGGAAAGCTTTGCAATGCTCGTCACTCCGTAGGAAGACAAAGCGCCTGCGCGTTCAGCGGCACGCCCTCCTTCGCGAGGAGATAGCGCAGATCCGAGCCCGGCAGCCCCAGCACATTGCACATGTCCTGCTCATCCTGCGCGAGCGCCTTCGGCGGAGCGCCACCGAGCCACCCCTCGCGCTGAGTCGCGCAGTCGACGCGGGGTGCCAACCAGGACTGCGCCAGACCATGCGGACCTGAGTCGGGGCCGTTCGAGCTCAAAGGTCGGAGACCGAGCAACAATCCCCCGGCCCGGTAGAGCGACGGCGAAATGCGGCGCGGCCCCGAAGCCCCGCCCGACCGCCATAGGACCCCCGAGCGCGACGGCGCCCTGCCCCGCCAGGGCCCTCCCTCGCCCGCGGCGGACGGATGCGCCTTCGGGATGGACGGGCGTCGCAGACGCGGAGGGGCGCCCAGCTGTCGGCGCCCCGTGGGCGCAGCCCGCCTCTGCCGAGTCTGGACTGTCTTCTGCGATTGATTGCGCGGGCGGGCTCCGCCTCGGGCCGCGCTTCGGCCGCCGCCTGGCAGTGCGCGGGCGCGGCCCCTGACTAGCTCGCGCCGAAGCGGGGGCCCCCCGCTTCGAGGGGCCACGCGGGGCCCCTCTGCCGCCGGCGCCTTCGCGGCTGCTCCGCCGAGGGGGCCGGCGCGCCCCTCTCCCGAGGGGCCGCGTAGAGCCCGCCGCAGTTGCTGCGCCCCCCTCGGCGCCCCCCGCAGGCCCATGGGAAGTGGCGGAGCGCGATGAACGACAGAGCTTTCGCACTCGCTCTCGTCGGCCGCCTTCGCCATCTCGCGACCGCTCCTCGCCGTCTCGGGGCGCCGCCGCTAATCCGCCGGCGCTGGCGTCGAGGGCCGCGCAGATCTCGGCCGCCGCGCTTGCCACCTTCTGCGCCGAAGATTTTCCCTTGACGCCGACCAGTTCGCCTGGTCTGGAACGGCCGCTGCCCCGCCCGCCTCCGCGCGGGCCTTCCCGCGACGCAGCGCCTCCGCGAAGTGTTGCTGGAGCCTGGGCGCGACTGCGCGGCGCGCCCGCGCGCGGGCGCCCGCGCCCCCCAGCGGCCGCCTGCCCAGGTTATCGCGTTCGGTTTTCGGGGCCCCCATTTCCGCAGCGGCCAAACGGGCCGTTGCCCGCGAAGCTCGAAGCCCCCTCTGCGACGAAGAGCTCGACATCCTCGCCCGCGCACGCCGCCGGCGTCGGAATCCTCTGGTGCCCCGCCTTTTCCGCGGCCGCCGCTTCTGCGCGCCCAGCGGGCTCCTGGACCACCTTCTGCCCCGCGTCGCCACGCCGCGGCAGGAAACGGCCCCTGTCGAAATCCGCGACCTCCTTCCGCACGTCGAAGCCCGTCAGACTCCATGCTGGGCCCAACATGTAGCATTCGCGGGATGCCACGAGCGGCAGCTCCGGCTTCTTGCAGCACATTCCGGTAGTCCTCGCGCGCCCCAGCGCGGCCGCCAGCCCGCCGTCCGCGATGGCGAGGCGCTGCGGCGAGAGCCAGGTGCGGTCGTCGCAGTGCAGCACTGCCCACACCTCGGCGAGGCGAAGCCACGCCACCCGGCGAAGGTACTGCGCGAGGTCCTCGTCCATGACCAGCCACCCCAGGGCCCCGAAGAGCGAGCTGAGGAATCAAGACGCCCTCGTGGCCGGGCCCTTGTCCACCCCGGAGAGCACCCCCACGTTTGTGACGACCTGTTGTGCCTCTGGTCGCGTGGAGAGTCTGTCGTCCTGGTCCACGCCTGCAGCGCGCTTCGCCCACGCAATGGCGCGCAAAGTCTGGGTGGGCACCGTCGGTCCAGACGGCTCAGAAGCCGCGGCGTGCACGTAGCCGATGAATCGCACAACCTTCACGGACCACGAGGCCCCGCGCGGGCGCAGGAGCCATCTGCGCATCATTTCCATGGCCCACACGTGCGACCTCACTGTGTTGTTGCGCGCGCGGCCTGCGATGCAGTCCTTCGCCCGCTCTGGGTCCATGCAGAACCGCGCCGTCTCAAGAGAGGGCACCCCAATCTCCTCGAGCAGCGCGATCAGGCAGGCCCCCCACAGAACAAATTCCTGCACCTCCAATCCGCGACGGCTCTCCTCGGCAGCCGCGCGGCACCCATGAGCGAATCGGGCCCCCGCCTCCCGCCATTGCATGGGCCCGCGGCGACAGTGGAGCCTCGGACGCGCCTCAGCGATCCGTCGTCCTGATGCACGCCGCGGCATTCTCCAGCGTGGCTCGCTCAGGGCAGCCACGGAACGTCCTCAGACGTTTCTGCACGGGCTCCTCAGGCACCTCCTGGTCCACAAACTCCTTCAGCGGCAGCCGCCCCTCGTGTACGCTTGAACTCCGCGGCCTCCGCCACCTGCGCGAAAATGTCCGTCGAATTCGGCCCCTTCCGCCTGCAGCGCGAGGCGCGGGCCGAGGAAATCATGCGCACTCGTGAAGCACCTTGCTGACCCGCCGCCGCACAGAGTCGAAAGCGCACGGCCCAAGGGTCAGCATCTGCGCCCAACCGTTGTTCAAAATCGGCCGACCGCCTGAACCCAAATGGCCTCAGGCACCGGGCAGAGGGCGAGGATACACGTTCGTGTTGGCACACGGGGGCTTGCTCTCTTGCACACAATGGCGCGGACCGACCGAATAAAACACAATTGGTCAACCGCCTTCGGTACGAAATCCCACCAGCCCTCTGGGCGACAGGTGGTCCAACGCGGGTCTCTTTCCTCTTCCACGACCCCTCTTCCCTTCGGGGAGGGGAGCCCTCCCCCTCCCCTCCCTAAGTTTTTTGAGGGTCTTTTCTGGGCCTCTGGGAGGGTCACTTCTTGACACCCCTCTTGTGACCGACCGCCTCCAAGATGGCCCCCCCAGGGCTCCCAAGAGGCCCCTCACAGGGCTCCAAGAGCGCCCCAAGAGGCCCCCAAAGGCCTCCAAGAGGCACCCCACAGGCACACAGGAGGCCGCCGAGCGGCCTCAGAGAGCCCCAAGTGACCTCCAAGATGGCCCCTCCTCCTCGTCCTCCTCCTCCTCGTCCTCCTCATCCTCCTCCTCTTCCTCGTCCTCCTCCTCCCCCTCCTCCTCCTCCTCTTCCTCCTCCTCCTCCTCCTCCTCCTCCTCCTCCTCCGCCTCCTCCTCACTCTCTTAATCCCCGTCCTCCTTATCCTCGTCCTCCTTTTTCTCGTCCTGCTCCTCTTGCCTCCTCCCTCCTCCTCCTCCTCCTCCTCCTCCTTCTCCCCTTTTTCGCCGCCCCCCGCATCACACGCGGGCCGGAGATGGCCCCAACACGCTGTCCGGGCCGGCCTCCCTCGCTGTTTGACTATGCGTGTCTCTCCCTCTCTCTTCCCGTCAACTCCTACGGGCATCGTTCCTGGATGGGTTGGTGGGGATATTTTTTTAGTCAGCGGCCGCAGGCGAGCGCGCCAGCGGCGAGTCAGGTCCAAGCGGGCTACGCAGAGTCGAGGTAGGCAGAGGCGACGCGCAAGGGCTGGTGGGGATACTTTTTTGGTCGGCGGCTCCGAAGCAACGGTCAGGGAGCGGAAGCGGCGTCCGGGATGCGGCACGGTGCGAATTTGCGAACACAGCCGCCAATGTCGGCAAGCCAGTTCGCACCTGCAAAAAAAGCTCACAGCTGCACATGCACATAACAAAATAAACTAAATGCACTAGCAAACGCACATCGGCGCAGCAAACTGGGAGGGCACGCGAAGCGTCAAGAATATCCTCCTGCGCGCCTCGAGCAAAAAAATAATTTGCCCTCTGGCCGCGCAAGACATGATTCAATGTTTGCATGACCCGGACTCATTCAAGGGCAGCTGAATCCAGAGCTCGAAAGGGGCAAGCATGTGCGGACCTTACATGGCCTTGCGTACTGTGGCGGTTGGAACGTATTCTTATGTTGGGTACGGAGTCGCCTGTCGCGCTCCATGAACAAGGAGAAAACCAGGGCGGACGCCGTGGCAGCCCTCACTATGTGCCCCCCCCCCGCCTCGAAGCACATGTCCAGCTTTGCGTCGCCGACGTGCGACAGGAGATGGCTGGCCTGAGAAGAATGCAAGCTGTTGGCACGGGCGTATGGAAGTGTGCACAGGCAACACGCCTCGGGGATCCTTATTGCGATCCTAGCTAGGCCAGGCCAGGGGTAGGCCCGTGGCGACGAACCGTGGCCGCGCTTGCATACTTGGTGATCTCTGATGGTGCTGTCTTCCATCCGTTCTCGTGTCAGATTATCCCTATTGTCGAGATGGCATAATAAGGTCATCCATCTGAGTATGATGGGGCGAGCGGGAGCTGGCCTACCAGCAACGTCGAGCCTTCCTAGCAACCGTTGGAAACAAGCGACTTGCGCCTGTACGAGGACCCTGGCTAGGATCTTAGCTGCAGGATCCTTGCGACAAGCGGGGATCGCATCTTCCTCACACTGGTGGGATCACAGCTGGGAGCTTAGCTACATAACCCCAGCGACTTCAGAAAGGTAATGACGGCCCTCATCCACGCTACCAAGCCAATTCACGAGGTACCATACACACGCGCGCGCATGCACGCACATGTTTACTCTCCATCTAGCTGTCAGATCAGTTCGACATCAGTTGGTTGGCGCGGGCTCGGCTTTCCACTCAGCAAATCCAAGGGGGAAGAGGAGTACGCGTCCCTCCACTGCAAGATCAGATCTGGTCGACTCCAAAAGCCCTGAACCCAAACATGATTATCGGAGGTTGGGGGATTGATCGAAGTGGAACGGAGAGCCCCCCTAGCGGGAAATCGATTTCGGTTTCGTGTTCGTGCGTGCCGTGCGTACGGGCGAGGCGGAGCTGCGTGGGCGGGCGAGAGGAAAGTCTCCTGTGGCTGAGGCGCGGCCGGACCAAATGATTGTGCCCCGGGCGTCCGGTGGCCCGCGGTGTCCCGCCGGTGTCAGGAAAGTCTCCTGTGGCTGAGGCGCGGCCAGACCAAATGATTGTGCCCCGGGCGTCCAGTGGCTCGCGGTGTCCCGCTGGTGTCCCGATGATGATGATGATGGTGATGATGATGGAGATGATGGTGATGATGATGATGACGGTGATGTTGATGATGATGTTGATGTTGTGGTTGGTGATGTTGATGTTGATGATGATGTTCATTGTGAGACCGATTGCGAGATCGATTGTGAGATTCATTGTGTTATCGATAGTGATATCGCTAGTTAGATTGAATGTGGGATCGATTGGGAGATCGATATTGAGATCGATTGTGAGATCGATCGTCGGATCGATTGTGAGATCGATCGTGAGATCGAATGTGAGAAGGATGGTGAGATCGAGTGTGAAATCGATGGTGATATCGACAGTGAGATCGATCGAGCGAGATCGAAAGTGAGACTGTTAGTGAAACCGACAGCGAGACCGATCATGTCGAGTGCGCTTCGCCAACATCGCCGCATCACATCACATTCGCGATCACAATCACACTCCTCGCTAGACTCCGCCCGGCAAGTATCGTCAGAACAACAATCACCACTGTTGCCCATTGTTGGCCCCCTCTCCCCCCCAAACCTCCTTATCACCCGCAGGGTGGTCGTATAGGCATACGTGTCTGGTGTCTCGCATCTTTGATTCCGCCAGCTTCCGCCCAGCTTCCGCAGGCTTCGGCCGGTGGAGCCGATCCCGATGTTCTTCCGTCCGCCTTCTGCCGAAAAACAGCAAGCAACCCTCTCGCTCTCTCGAGGGCGACACCTTTCTGGACCGCTCCACACAAAGCCTTTTCAGTGCACAGTGGCTTATAACACCACGATGCAAAGAATTCGCGTGGCAATCAGGACGCGAACCCGTGCACACCAGAAAGCAAGCTGCCGACATCACGCGCGACGGGCAGATGTCGATCCTCTGCCCTCAAAAGCGCACGGACAAACATATCAAACGCATTCGTTTAAAAAGGGAACGGTCGCAGATGGAGCCCCGCACCAAACACGTTTGAGACATCTGCTTGTGAGTGGCGACGTGCACACAGGCGCGGAAGACGGTCCAAGCACAACAACTCCACTACCTTCAGAAATCGCAATCCGTGGCTCCCCGATGAGCTGATTATGGCACAGCGTGAACCCTCTATTGCAAGACATACCCTGTCAAGATGGGTCGGGAGTATGGTGCTACCTCGCAGGCTGGCAGCACTGCCTGTCTCAGTCCGGCTGGCAACCACAGACCGTCACGGATGCGCGCCTCTGGTCGGCCCACGTGCGGAACACAATGCGCAACGACAAATAGTGATGCATCGCAGACACGCTCCGTCGCATGCACATACTGGTTACTGGCATGGCTTGCCCAGCATACCTGCACCAACACGCATTTGATAATGGCTTGATGTGCGGACAGCGGCCGAAGGATGGATGTAAAGGCGGGAGCGCGGAAAGGGCAAGACAAGCAAGGCCGTATGAGCTTGGAGCGTCCCCAAGAGCACTGGGAGGGAGCGTCTCCACGCTACGCCTCATCACAACCCAAGACCCTGAGCCCAACACATCTTGCCTCACGCGCGCACACACACACACACACACACACGCTCGCCGTCCTGCCATCCTCGACGCCCCGCAGGCCCTGACCCTGAACTTCCAAGTCGCACGACCGCCGCCCGCATCGGCAACGACACCCCGCACCCTACAGGCAGCCAAACGCCCACCCCGCAGGGCTCGCCAGCTCGTCCAGCATGTCGCGCCCGATGCTGCCACGGCGCCCGACCGTGAGGTTGTTCTGCGTGGTGGGGCGGCTTTCCCCTTTCCCCTCTCTCCCCCCCCACGCCCACCCCCGTGGAGTCGGCAGCAGTTGCGCCAGCGCGCCCCTGGACATACATCGAGCATCTCGGTTTCTGCTCTTGGCCCCCGCCGCCGCCACCGTCGCCGCGGCCCTCGCAACAGCCACCCATTGCCCTGCCCAGCCGCGCTGCGGGTCCAAGTCCTGCTGTGATGCCAAGCTCTGCCATTTCAGAACTCGCGCAGCTCACCTTCGCTGACTGCTACTCACAGGTGCGACTCCCCTCCCACCACACCCCCTTCTCGGAATTCCGATGTCTCCCAACGAAACGCTGCAGAGCCTGCTGACGACACCCCCCCCCTCTCCACACCGGCCGAGCACCGCAATGTGCATGCTGGCAGCACGCAGCGAAGGATGGGGCAGAAGAGGCGGCCTTCCACGAGAGCAGATGGATTTTTAGAAGGGCTCAGACGTTTCTCGGAAGGCGTGGGGGCTTCAAAGCAGCCCTCTGACTGCCAAAAAGGCCGCCCTCCTTGCCCCGTTCCTTCTGCGCGCCGCCAGGGCATGGGCTGCGCTCTCAGCCAAGTGGGGACATCGACAGGTCTTGCTCCAAATGATCCCTGGGCCTCTTCCCCGATCCACCTACATTCGCGCATCGCGACCCGCGAAAAACGACGCGCGGCTATCATCGCGCCCTCGCGCGGCCGTCCGGGAGAAAGAAAGCACCTACCCTTGTCCCGGCCGCGACGCGACAACCGCGACTATCTTGGTGCCCCCGCGAGTGACGCAGCCGCTGTGGTGCGATGCGGCTAGGATTCCGAATCGAACCCAGCCGCGGCGCCGAGAGCGACCCAAGTGGGGCCCCAAAAGGCGACACCATGGGGGAGGGGACATCGGTACATCCTGCATGTTCTTCCCCCCCTCGCAGGCGGCCTCAGAAACAAGCTCCGGCCGCCCTCGCAAAAGCAAAAACACAAAAACAAAGACAAAAGGGAAGGGGGTTGGTGCCTGAGGGAGATTCACATTCTTCCCCGTCGAACGATCGCATCTTTGGGAGAGAGGGGGGGAGGCGAAAGGAGAAGCCGCGATGATCATCCCGCCGACCCACTCGTCACCCTGTCAACCGCGGGCTTCGGGCGGCTGGCGGGGGGCCGCGCCCGCCGGGCGGCCCCAGGCGAAGCGGGGCGCGGCGCCGCGGCGGTCGGCGCCCAGGGTTCTCCCCAGCGGGATGCCCGCGCTGCGCGCGGCCACGGCGCAGAGGCGCGGGCCCAAGGCCAAAGCCCAGCGGGCGGACGCTGCGGCGGCCAGCGCCCAGCGGGGTGCCCGAAAAGGGGACGATGGTCGGGTTCTGACCGTCCAGAGCCAGGGGGGCAACCTGTCGAGGATACGATGAGGGGGTGGTCATGGGACAGGATCGAGGCCTCTTTCCTGTCCACCGCCGCAGATCATGCACCGAGCAGGCGGCGCAGGCGAATGGGGCTGCTGCGCCTTGAGCCCATCCGGTTGCGGGTCATGCAAACACAAAGCGATCCCCCTCGGACCGCACCTTCAAACCGAACCAGTGCTGCATTAGTATGTAAAAATGGGGGAGCCAAGTGCCAGAGTCATGTTGCCTTGATTCCAGCATCCCGACGCCAAAGTGAACTGGGCAGAGGTTAGCGAAGGGATACAGCCTAGACCAAAACCAGCCCTGAAAGGCCAGAGGCCGACGAGGGCTGGACCGGCATCGGCGTGATATAGATTGCGAAGAAGTCGCGGTTCGGCGACATCGGCTCGAGGTCGCGCTCCCGCGACACTGAGTGCAGAGTAAAACGTTGAAGCGCGCTCCTAAGCGGGCAGTCGCGGGTCCGCGAAAACTCGGTGTGCCGCCAGAAAAAAGTCGCGTAGATGGTCATGACGCCGAGGGCGGAGATGAGCAGAGCTGACGCAGGTGCGACAGCTCCGCTGCCAAGTAGAAAACGAGGCTGGCTTACCATCGCGTATATTGAGAGGGCAACCGTTGAAGGATACGAGGAGGGGTGGCGACGGGACAGGATAGAAGCCACCCTCTTGCCCACCGCAGCAGATCATGCACCGAGCAGGCGGCACAAGCAGCTGGGGCTGCGCGGCCGTGAGTCCACTGGGCCGCGGGTACTGCAAGCATTGAACGCTCCCATTCGGTGCGGACTTCAATCGGCGGTGGACAAACCCCCCTTTAGTAAACCACCCTGTAGCGAAAACGGCCTAGGACCGAAACCGACGGACCTCGACCCGCAATAGCGACGGCCGCGACGCCCTCTCGCGAACCGAAAACGGCCAATTCGCAAGTCGACGCGTCAGGGCAGGAGGTCCATCAGCCTCCGATTCAAACAGACCGCGCGGCGCGCGAGGGGCCTGCCACGCTCTCGGCGCAGAGGCACCAGCACGGGCCGAGGCCAGGCGAGGACGGTAGGCGGGCGCCGCGGCGGCGGACCGCCGCGCGGCGCGCGGGCGCGGGCCGCGCCGCAGGCCGAGGCGCCCCGCGTGCTGGCGATCCTCCTCCTCCTCCCCCGCCTCCGCCCCCTCCCCTTGGCTCCCCCCTCTCCCCCTTCCCCCCTTCCCCCTCCTCCTCCTCCTCCTCCTCTCCTCCCCTCCTCCTCCTCTCCTCCTCCTCTCCCTCCTCCTCCTCCTCCTCCTCCTCGTTCTCCTCTCCTCCTCGTCCTCCTCCTCCTCCTCCTCCTCCTCTTCCCTCCCCCCTGTCTCCCATCCCCTTCCTCCCCCCATCTCCCCCCTTTCTCTTTTCTCCTGCTACTGCTGCTCCTGCTCCAACACAAGATGCCTCGCCTGCTCCTTCTCCTTGCCCCCTTTCCTCCTTTTCCTCCGGCTCCTCCCCTTCCTCACCCCCCTCCTCCAGACTCTCCCCATCCTCCTCCCAATCCCCTCCCATTTCTTCTCCTCCTCCTTCTCCTCATCCTCCTTCCCCTCCTTTCATCATCCTCCTCCACTTCCTCCTCTCTTCTCCTCCTCCCTTCCATCCCTCTCGTGGTGTTCTTCCCTATCCTTCCCATGTTGCTCCTCCCCATCAGCCTCTCCTCCTCCTCCTCCATCCCTCCTCTGGTAAAATAATGAACTCCTCCCTGTCGCACCCCGACGCGTGTCGGCAGGGCGGGCCGGGCGCTTCGCTTGATCCGCCTTACCCTTAGAAGCTACAGCAGCTTCACGGATGGAGGGCGGGTGGTTTTTAAACTGCGGCTGCCACCTTGGCGCCGTGACCTATCGTTTGGCAAATGTGCCAGAGTTTCACGGATGGAGGGCGGTTCGTTTCTCATAATGTGGCTCTCGACTCAGCGCCGCGCACATTCGTCTCAACAGCCTGAAAGAGCTTCAGGGATGAACAACGGCTCACCGGAGCGCCGCGCATATTCATTTCAAGCGCTTGCCAGGAATTCACGGATGGAGGGTGGTACCTTTTCAAAATGTGGTTGTCGCCTTAGCGCCGCGTGATCTCGTTTCAACAATCTGCCGCAAGTTACAAGGGTCTCATGTCGGGCATCGCAGACATGGGTGGTCTGGCACGATGTGAGATTGCCAGGGCGCAGAAATTAAGTTGATTCGCGGTGCTGAAATGGCACTCTGTTACGATTCCTGATCGCCAGGACGCAACCGTCACTTTGACTCGCGCATTGAAGTCCCAAGATCGGTGTCCTGGAACGGTTCAGAATGCTTTTTACGGTTCTCTACGGACAGAAAACAGTATTTCCCTCAGAGACGATGAGCGCTTGTGGAGACCGATAGAAACATAACTTGGAGGCCATTTTCATTGCAACACCGATGGTGGGTCTTGGCTTGCACTGGCCCTCCTTCTCCTCCTCCCCATCCTCCTCCTCCTCCTCCTCGGCTGCCTCCGCCCCCCTCCCCTTGGCTCCCCCCTCTCTCCCTTCCCCCCTTCCTCCTCCTCCTCCTCCTCCTCCTCCTCCTCCTCCTCCTCCTCCTCCTCCTCCTCCTCCTCCTCGGCTGCCTCGAACTTGTCGCCAGTGTCGGCAGCGGCGCCGAGCGTCGGGCCGAAGACGGCCGCCTCGCCCCCCGCTCTCCGGCGGACCGGGGGGGGCGGATGGTTCGTGGGAGGGCTCGGGGCAGGCCGAGGTGGGCGGAGAGGAGGGGGGGACCGGGGAGGAGGGGGGGGGGAACAGAGGGGCAGGGGGACGGATGGTTAGTGGGAGAGGGGGGGAGGGGAACAGACGGAGAGGAGGGGGGGGAACGGATAGTTAGTGGGAGGGCTCGGGGCAGGCCGAGGTGGACGGAGAGGAGGGGGGGAACGGAGAGGAGGGGGGGAGAAACAGAGGGGCAGGGGAACGAAGAGGACGGGGACACGGTCGGCGCTGCAAAGACCCAACCGGCAGCATCGCTCTCTCCGAAGAAGCAGCACGCCGTATCCCTGTGAGTCGTGGGGCGATCTCCCCGCGCATGAGGCCCCTTCTGCGGACGCTGCCCCCTTCTGCGAGGGTCTCGTCGGCGCACACTCGTGCACGCTACCTCCCTTTTGCAGGCCTTCCTCGGCGCACGCTGTCCCCAACCAAGAGAGGGAGGATATTGCGTGCACTAAGCGGGCCGGAGCGGCGCCACATCGCACGCCGTCCGTGCGCCACGCGGGGCGCAGGACGCCGCGTGTCCGCCGCGCAAGCCCCTTGAGGGGGGCCGCGGCGCAGGGCGGGCAGGAGACCCGTGCATGAGTGAGCGCATGATGGGCGAGGGCAGCTCGCCATCGCTCGGACGTGCGTGGTGTTTCGCCAAATGATCAAGGATGCTCCTCGATGGCCCTCGCCGAAGGGAAAAATGCACGCGTCCGAGCGATGCCAAGGGGCAGAGGAGAAGGATGCGGAGAGCGGCGATTTTGTGAGCAGGAGGGCGAGACGTGGGGACATGAAGGGCGGGGAGAGGACGAGGGCTTGTGGAGCAGCATCCAAGAACATTGCTCAAGGTGTTTCACGCAGGGGGAGGCAGACCAGACTGGTGGGGAGTGTTGCCTGAGACGAGACATGGGCCACGGGCCACGGGGACACAAGTGGCATACATACCAACGAGAACGCGACCGCATGACCACGCCGATCACCATGCAGTCAATCAAACCAGGATTGCCATGCGCAAGCAGACATGAAGGGGGGAACTCCCTTGAAGGCCGTGACCCGAAAGTCAAAGGAGTCTCGGTGACGGTTGCCATCCTTGCTTTCGAATGACATTGATGGTATGGCATCGTCCAGGTATTGAAAAGATGGCACGAGTCATTGCCTGTGCGGCCTCGAGACGTCCAAGACAACCTAAGAGGCCCCAACGAGAGCCCAAGACGGCCGAGGAGCCTCAAGAGGCACCCACGACTGCACTTAAAGAAGGACTCAGGAAAAAAGATAACGAACGAACCGCATGCCCAAGGCTGGGAATCCAGCTTGTCCTCCCCCCGCCAGCCGAGGAGCCTCAAGAGGCACCCACGACTGCACTTAAAGAAGGACTCAGGAAAAAAGATAAACGAACGAACCGCATGCCCAAGGATGGGAATCCAGCTTGTCCTCCCCCCGCGAAATGAGCCGAAGACCCCCGACGGGTCCCCCCAGAGATCTGCCCAGAGGCCCCCAAGAAGTCCCCCAGAGGACTCCAAGAGGGCCCACAGAGGCCCCCACGTTGCCCTCGGCAGGCCCTGAGGAGATACACAATGAGGCCTTCAATGGTTCCCACTACGCCCTTAGAGTAACACTGTCTCGTCTTCTGATCAACTCCCTCCCCCTCCGCAAAACTGTCAGCGTCCATGTGGTTCCACTCCTCGCTGTGAGCTCGGGGAGGATTGTCGTTCGACACCTCGGATGCAGAATCACACAGAATCACCACCCGAAGCGGCACGTCCCCGGCCCGGGAGGACTGGGGCCAACGTGAGGAACGATTGTGTCCTTCCCGAAGGCTCACGGAGAGAGGACTCGTGACTGCCCTGCTCTCTGCACAGACCGTCGGTCTCTGATCCTGCCATTCCTTGACTGCGGCCCTGCCCCCTGCCCCAGGACCGCTGCAGGGAGCTCTCGGAGCTCTCGGAGCCCGGGGCCCGCAGGCAGAGCCAGAGACCAACGACGCACGAGACAGGCAGGAGAGCGTCCAGAGGCAGCAGCACGGGCTCGGCAGCGCGCCTGGGAGGGGGGGGAACTGGGAGGGGACAGGCCTTCTCAGAAGGCGGCGGGGCTTCTCAGAAGCCCTCTGGCCTTCTAAGGAGCCGTCTCTGTCTTCGGAGAGGGCCCAGGGGACTGCTCGAGAGGACCAGGCCTTGCGAGCCTTCTGAGAAGGCACTCCCCCCGTCATTTTTCCCTCCAGGGCTCGCCGCCGACATGCTGTTCCCCGTCGGGGGAGGCCCAAAGGGGGCACATGCCGCAACTCTCCCCAGAACTCTCCTGGGGTGCTTCTGACCAGAATTTCAAGGTGACTCCAGCGGTAACGAGGAGGGCCTCCCAGGAGGCCGAACAAGGCGAAAGCGAGGCAGGGGTGGCGGTATAGGTGTGCCTTTCCCTTCTCCGACCTGTTGCCCTCTCCCCCCATGGGCTCGCCGCTGAGAGGTAGCGACGGGAGGACTGCTCGGGGATATACTGACCCGGGTCAGTCCATGCCAGGGGTCAGTCGGGCGCGTCAGGATCCAGCGAAATCCTGCGGGATCCTGCAGGATCCTGCACCCAAGCCCGGGTCAGTGCACCCCTGGCTCCGCAGGATCCTGCAAGATCCGGCGCTCTGGCTGACCCCCGCTTGCACTGACCTTATACCAGCCTGGAACATATCCCTATCCCTATGCTGGGCATCTCCTCATCACGATGCCCATCCTAGGGATTCCCTCATTTTTGAGGGCGAATCCCTAAGATCGGCATCGCCTTTTGGCGTGTCAATCTTAGGGGTAGGGATACGTTCGAGGCTGGTCATGACCCGCGCCTCCCGAGGCTCCTGAACGCCGAGGGGTGGCAGCCCCCCGCTCGGAGGCCCGCCGCTCGGCAGCCCGCGGTACGCGGACCCCGCAGGCCGTCCCCGCTGCGGCCCCGCCGGCCGCATCGACGCGGGCCCCCGCCCGTGGCCCCCCGCCTGAAGGGCAGGAGGTGCGCCCAAAGCCCACTGCGCCCCGGAGCTCCCTCGCCATCGCTCGGACGTCCATTCTCCCTGTGTGTTTTTTCTTCGGCGTCGTGCGCGGCTTCTCGATGGTCCTCGCCGAGAGAAAAATAGGCGACGAGCCCAGGGGGGAAATGAGAAGGAGAAGGCCTTCTCAGAAGGCCGCGGGACTTCTTAGAAGTCCGGGGGACTTCTGAGAGGTCTCCTCAGCCTATTTCGAATACAGACTGAACTTCTCAGAAGCCCTCTCAGAAGTCCGGAAACTTCTCAGAAGCCTCGGAAGTCCCGCCCCTTCTCATTTTTCCCCCCCCGCGCCCGCCGCCGAAAAAATGCACACGTCCGAGCGATGCCAGGCTCCGGGGCCCCCTCCTCGAGCCACCCCCCTCGAGTCCAGAGCGAGATCTCGCGGCCGCGGCGGGCGCCCTGAGCGCCGGCCCGCGGCCTCCATGTGGAGGCCCCCCGCCCCAGGGCCTCGGGGCGGCCAGAGCAGGGCCTCGGCTCGCAGCCTGGGCTGGACCGGCTCTGGGTGCCCGAGGTCGGCGGCGAGAGAGAGGGGGGGGGAAAGTGAGAAGGAGAAGGAGGCCTCAGAAGGCTCGGAAGTCCCCCGGCCTTCCCCGAAGACAGACAGAACTTCTCAGCAGGCGCAAGGGTTCCCGAGAAGTCCCGCCGCCTTCCGAGAAGGCCTCCTCCTCCTCGTTGTCCCCCCTCCCTGACTCCGGATCCGCCCTACTGTGGGGAAATTCGTAAGCGGGGCTTGGAATTCCCGCCCTGCTTTTCGAGCCCCGCGGATGCCAATGTCCGCCCTGCTCTTTTCTGTGGCTGCTTCTGCGGATGTCCGCCCTGCTTTATGTTGGGTGCAGCAATGTCCGCCCTCCTTGTTCGGCCTCTTATAGGTGGAGTTCCGACGCAATTTTGGGTGGGAAAACAAGCCAAAGTAGGGCGGATGGCCCGGGACGAGAGGCTGGCCCCGGGGAGCGGGTCGAGGCCTCAGAAGGTCGACGCAGTGCAGACATCGTGGCGTCGGGGGTCTCTATCTATAGGCCCAGCTCGCCCAGGAGCCAGAGGCGCAGTGGCTATATGGCCGAGCATGTGGCCCCCGGGGGCGATGATGTTTTCATTATTTTGTATTGCGCACGCCCTCTGCGCCTCGGCCTGCTCTGATGCCCCCTCCCAGCCAAGCCCAAGACGAAGGGGGCCCCAGGCCACTCCAAGAAATTGCCACAAATCCCAGGATTCCCCGTATGCTTCCATATTTCTGGAGCTTCGCCTTACCCCCCACCCCTCCACACTTCCCATGCTGTCTGTTATATTCCCATATTTTCCAAGGGATCGACGGATATTTGTGCTTATGCTGTTCCCCTCCTGAAATACGCAGTGGACATGGGTAATGAAAATCTTGCCCACACCGCAATCACGGTGCCCTCTGGAGGCCTGTCCACATCTTCTCGCAGCAGTCGCGTAGCCATGGACCCGAGCCGCGACCATATTGGATATGTCCGCCGCTCGTAACCATGGCTGCGATGGCGCGCAGACTGGTCCGGCGCAGGTCCAAGAACTCCATGCGAGGCTCCGAAAAAAAGTGCGTATGTTGAACACCCGATCTATCCGGGATGACTGCTGTCCTTTGGGATTGCAGTTTGGGGGTGGCGAGGCGCGAACCCGTAGCTACCCCTGACTGCCCCCAGCCTGGATGAAGCGGGAGGAGGGTTGGGCGCCCGATTTATCTGGAAGAACTCTGCGATCTGAGATTACTCTGGTTTTGAGTCCCCGAGGCGCAAGTCTGCAGTTAAACCCCTGACCACCCCCAGCCCTGATGATTCGGAGCTCTGCATGTGGGGAAACGACAGGGTACCCATACGGCTACTCCCTGGACGTCTGCTTAGGTCACGAGCTGCGAACACGTCTATATCCGCACCCTCGCGGTCTGGGTGCCGGAGCGCGATCTCCCGCGCACGCGAGGCCGCACGGATGCGTCGAGGGCGGGGCATCCGCGAAAGGAACGCCCCATGTCCGCGGGGTCGCGGCCTGGGGACCTGGCGCGCGAGGCCGCAGATCCGGATATGTTTTTCGACCACGAGCTCCTCCTCTGGAGAAACAATAAAAAAGCAGTAATCTAAACTTTTTGAGGTCCGCGCGGGCTTCTATGACTGACGCCCCTTCCCTGGCGCGCGCAGCGCGCCAGGGGCGGCGCCGAGAGGCGCCATCAGGGGGCCCCAGCGCCGATGCGCGAGGGCTGGCACGCGAGGCCGTGGCTACGGAGATGCCTTTCGCCCACGACACGGCCAGTGGGGCGCCATGAGCAAGGCACAACTGCCGCAAATGGGGCGAATGTAATAGTACTCGGGTGCCCCGGGTATGTCGGAGCCCGCCCGGGCAGGAGGCGCAAGTGCAGCCCGACAGTCCGGAACGGGGCTTCTGATCATAGACGATCCAGGAGGAGGAGGAGGAGGAGGAGGAGGAGGAGGAGGAGGAGGAGGAGGAGGAGCAGGAGCAGGAGGAGCAGGAGGAGGAGGAGGAGGAGGAGGAGGAGGAGGAGAAGGAGGAGGAGCAGGAGGAGCAGGAGGAGGAGGAGCAGGAGGAGGTGAAGGAGCAGGAGGACTCGCCCCGCCCTCCGTGGAGGCGCCCGTGTGGGCTCGCCCGCGGGGGCGCCCCGAGGAGGGCTCCCGCGCGGCGCGACGCCGGGAGCCCGCCGAATGCGTGGCCGGCGGATCCTGCGGTCAGGACGGCGGGCGGCCCTGGCCGCACGCTACACGCTGCCAGCGGGCAGCGTCCCGATCCGCTCCGCGGGGCGGGAGGCTGGGAAGAGCTCGGGGCGCTGACGCTTGGGACTTGGAGGAAGGTCGGCGTGGCGCGGCGACGCGCGGTGGGCTGGAGCCCGCGGCGCGGCACGCTACGCCGAAGTTCCTCACCGTATCCCAAACCCGCTTGGACGATACATGTATACATATATATATATGTGTGTATAAGCATACATTTATGTACATATACATCTATACGCCCACCTTTCGGGTGATAAGGAGATTGGGGGAAAACCAAACACCCACTGACAATCACTGCGATTCCTGTGACGGCGATGAGATGGAAACATCGATCTTACGGATTTCTCCATCGATCTCACCATCGGTCTCACTATCTTTCTCGATCCCGATCTCACTATCGATCTCACGATCAATCCCAACATCGATCTCATAAAAGATCCCACTATCGACCTCGCAAAAGGATCTCACGAGACACCACCGGGACACCACGATGGGCCCCCCACCCACGGCGGGCCCCCTCAGCCAAGTAATTGTTGTGATCAACCTCGCGACCGATCTCACGATCGATTCTCACTATCGATCTCTCGACCTCCCGATCGATCTCACGATCACGGTCGATCACGCAATCGATCTAACAATCGATCGCAATATCGATCGCAAAGCAGATCTCACGAACTACCACCGAGACACCACGGCGGGACACCCGGAACCACCGTCGGGACACCCCGCGCCACCGACGGGGCACCCCGCGCCACCGACGGAGCACCCCCGCGCCACCGACGGGGCAACCCGGGATCGATCTCACGATCACGATCGATGACGCAATCATTCTCACGACCGGTATCACTATCGCTCTCACAACTGATTTCACGAGCTACCATGGACACAACACTGCGGGACACCCAGAGCCACCTTCGGGACACCCGGAGCCACCGACGGGGCACCCGGCGCCATCGACGGGACACCGACGCGCCACCGACGGGACGCCCACCCCCCGCCACCGCGAGCCGTGGGGGGAGAGGGCGGACAACCGGATCCACAGCCGCTAACCACGTCGGCATCATTTCTCTTGCGCGCCAAGGCAGCTTCGCCTCGCCCGCGCCTTCGACACGAACACGAAGCCGATGCCGATTTCCTGGCGGGGGCTAGCCGTTCCAATGCGATCTCACCCCCCGACCTCCGATATACGCATACACACATACATATATATATAATCATACATACATACATACATACATACATACATACATACATACATACATACATACATACATACATACATACACACATACATACATACATACATACATACATACATACATACATGCATGCATACATACATACATACATACATACATACACACGCAAGACTGCATTGGCGCTTCGCGCCAGACGCCATGCCCCCGACGCTTCCCAGGCAAAACAATAAATCATCGTTTGCTTCAGCAGGGGGATTTCGAGGCCTGGACGGGAGACCAGCTCATTTTTTCTCATATCCCTAGTGCCAATTGACACCGCGTTCGCCCGATGCTCTTGCACGCTCGTGCGCAGGAGCAGGAACGGAATGATGATTTGTTCACGCGCGAAGGTCCTTTGACGAAGTAAGGAGCGTTCCCATGACACGCCGAAGAATTCGCAATAGCTCCGAACAAATCGCTGTTTGGTCGCTTCCTGAATGCGTGGAGCGCCCCAGGCTCTCGGGAAATCTTCGGTCCTCGAACGTCGAATCTAGATCCCTTGCCTGTCTCTCTCGATCGAAGAATGTAAACCTCGAGCCTCAAGCGTGGAACCAAGATCGTCGGGTCAGCTCGATATACTTCGTAGGAGAGCGCCGTCTGGACGTTTTTGGGATTATTTTGGGCCGTCCGGGGGCCCTCTTGGGCCGTCCTGGGGCTTCCTTGGACCGTCTTGAAGAGCTGGAACCCTCCAGAAGTCTTCTGAAGCCATCTAGGGCCCTTTTGCGGGCCTCCATTGGCCTTCTTCGGGGTTTCCATGGCTTTCGTGGGCCTCTCTTGGGGGCCTCTTGGGGGCATCTTGGGCTTCTTGTGGGCAATCTCGGGGCTCTCTGGGGCAGTCTCGGGGCCCTCTTAAGACGTGTCCAAACCTTCTGGGGGGCCTCTTGGGCCGTTTTGGGGCGATATCGGGGGCCCATCGGGCCGTCTTTGACTCGGCGGAAACACAAACATATACAAAAAAACGGAAATGCTAAACAAATATGCGTTGTCTGAAAGGAAAAAAGACGATTGTAGCTTCTTCGGGGCTCTCTTAGGGGCCTCTTGGGTTGTTTTGGAAGCCTTCGGGGCCGTCTTCGAACCATCGAGGTTCCTCTTGGAACGCTCTTGTGCTGTCTTGGGTCTCTACTGCGCCTCTTCGATGACCCGCAGGGTCGCCTCGATTCTGTGCGCATCTACCTATACATCTATTGTGCACTCGATGTGGATCGATATGTGTCGTGCACTCGATGTGTTGCAGAATAACTTGTGCAAGCTATGTGGCGCCATTTATACGGTGCAAAATGTGTGGTGCGATCGATTCGGGTCCACTCATGTGGTGTACTTTATGTTGTGCAACTAATGTGGCGCCATATATGCCCTGCTGTGCAACCTACGTGGTGCACTCTATGTAGTGCAACGTGGGTAGTGCAATATATGCTGTACTCTCCACGCTGTGCAGTCTATGTTGTGAAGCCTATGTAGTGTATTCTATGTGGTGCGAGTGTATGCGGTACTACATAGATAGCGCGACCGATGTAAGGCAATCTCCGCGGGATGCATCTCACCCTGCCGAGCAAGAAAATACCAACACCGCTGCTCGCGCAATCATCCCACACATCCACCTGCAACGTGGCTTGCAGAACCTATACGGCGGCGATTGCGATGACTTCTCGGCGCTGGCTGGCGCAACGCCGCGGCCGCGCTAGCGCGCATGGTCGCGCGCAAAACAGCCATCTAGTTTGGCGCGACCGACGCGGCCGCGGTGGCGCTGATCGCTGGGCTTTTCACAGCGGGCACTTCAGTGTGGCGGCGACTTGGGTGGGCGCAGTATCATTGCAACGTCGGCACCAGCGGGCGCGATGGTAATAGTAGCGATGCTGGGCACGGCCAGTGACGGCACCGATGCTGATCACGCCGACGACGATGACGGCGTCCTCGCGTCGGTGACGGAGGTTGTGGAAGGAGCTCGATCTGCGCGCGCCGCCGGCGCACGAGTGGCCAGCATTGCATTATCATTTGACACGGAACGTGCCCCCCCAACACGCGCGCAAGGACGTTCGAATGATTTAGACATGCAGTGCGAGGGGCCCGTTGGGCAGAATCCAATGTACATGGTGAAAACCGATAGCGCTCTTAAGAATTAGCAAGTCCGCGAGCGCCAGCTTATTGGGAACATTGATGTTGCAAAACAATGTTTTAATGCGTTTCCGGAACACTCGATTTTGAAACCTTTTCGAAACCTTGGATTTTTGCTCGAAGGATTCCGTCATGCGCGCGACGACGCGCGCGCGCGCTTGCGCACTTCGTTCTATGTCTTTTTCGAAAGGGAATATTGCAACACCACGCGCGCAAGGACGTTCTTGCGATTCCGATTTGCGCGCGCGGAAGGACCGCTTGTCAGCATGTTATAACATGTTGTAAAGGCGATGATTTTCTTCAGAAGCCGCCAGAGCCCGAGCGGAAAATGTGTTTGAAAATGCTTGACGGGAAACAAGTTGTTTCCAATCCAAACTTGGGTTATATGTTTTCTGGACACTCGGTTTTGAAGCCTTCACGAAACCCAGATATGTTTGAAGATTTTCTTTATTCGCGCGCGACGACGCGCGTGTGTGCTCCTTGTCCCATGACTTGCAAAGGAAGCGTTGCAATTGATGACAGTTTCTCACAGAAGATGAGGGGGGGGCGATACCGGCCTGCCTGGGATGATCCGAACTAACACTTCAGATGGACGATGTGGCCGAACCATATGCAAATTGCGATACGCAAAGGGGTGGCGTGAAGTGCAGGGGGGAAAGAGGTCAATACTATCTTTGTTCAGGAACAGCGATATATGCGGTACACCCTATGCTGCCCTATCTCCGTGATGCAATCGATCATCATCACCATGAACAACAACAGCATCTTCATCATCAATGCCATCGTCATCATCATAGTCGCCGACGTCGTCAACATCATACTCAACGTCAGCGTCATCGTCACCATCATCATTATGATCGTTACCATCATTATCAACGTCGTCATCAGCATCATCTTCGTTATCATCAGCAACATCAACAACATCATCATGATGATAATCATCGTTGTCGTCACCATCGTCATCACCCCATGACCCTCAGAATCCGCATCATACTCATGACGGCTTTCCAAAGCCTGAAGACACGAAGTGTCCCGCGTGACGGCCTCCCGTGCCCGCTCGAACAATCGCCACCCAGAATGCTGGGCAGGCACGGTGGCGGGACCTGCCGCAAGCAACTGGATATAACGGAACGAATGTTGGGCAACTGCTACCCGTCCGACTGCTTTGTCGCATTGCCGACCATACCTGGCATGCAGCAATGCGGATTTGTCGAGTCACGGTGCCAGGCTGGCAGCATTTGGTTCAAGCATGCAACCCGCCCCAGAAGCTGAGGTAGGCACCTCAGTCTGCAGATACTTCCACAGGCGGTCAAGCTGAGACGTCCGCAAGCTGGGAACGTACTTAGGAAATAATTCCCTGAACTGCATCAGAGTTACACGCTTCTGCGGAATCATGTGCTTGATGGCAGTTCCCGACTGCTGCACGGCCATGGCGAACGCCTGATTCCAAGGCCCGACACAATAATGCTGCACAGCTTGCCAGGTCCAAGCTGCTAAGAGGAAGGCAATGGAAGACCCTACCACAGAAAGGGGACACCGACTGAGATATGCAGGCTACGGGGCAAACGCACGTCTCGAAATGAACATGACAATCAATGCCTCTCCTCCCGCCGACCACGAGAGACCAGACCCGCTGCCTATTATATGTTGCTGGGGTTGATCGCACAACAAAACAAACAAGAGAGTTAAGTGAGAAAGTGCACTGCGACTCCATCTGCTCGATTTACCTGCTTTTCGAACATCTGTAGATCGACTCTGACGGCCGTTAAACGAGCCACGAATGCCGCTCGCCCAATCAGGCTGTGACCAAACAATGATCAGCGCGCGGGGCATCAAACATGACCAATTCAACCATTTTCAGGCCAGATGCTCTGTCGCACCACACGCGATGAATTCACAGTCAAGAGCCATGCTGACTATAGAAATACGTATTCGGTTCCCTTCATAATACTTTCGACGGCTCTCGGCCGTACTTGTTGCACGCTTCAAAGCTGGCATGCACACAGGCGAGTGAAGCAATCAAAGACGACAGTCCAATCTGCGCAAGCAAACGCAGGTAATGCTAGCAACTGTGAGCTGACTCGTCTCATGCACACCAGGAAGACGGCGACAAAGACAGCAAGTGGGCCGCGAGCGTGTCGCGGACCCACTTCTCGGAGACTTGGCACTTCGATGCCACCTGCATTCGGAGGCAAATATGCTGAGCAATGCAAATAGCGAGGGCACTGATATTGAGTGCGTCCTCGCTCTCACTTCCGCCTTGCGTCCCCCGTCGGGGCAGTCTGCCCACCGCAGGCCAGATGCCAACACCTCCCGAGAGACTTGCTGTGGCGTGGATGCAGAGGTGGTGCTGTGCGGTCACCGACGCGTCTGTGCCAGCCTGTCGCTAGTCGTGCCCTCTTTGGATATCCACAGCTCTCGGATGATCACCCCAGGCTCTGGCGTTACCGAGCCGCCGACGAAACTGAGAGGGTACACAAGGCTCCAGTGATTTGCTGCCAGAGAAGAGGAGGTGCCACAGGACGATGTCAAATCGGGCCGGGCGAAAGGGGGGGATAGCAAAGGGGGGGTTTGAGAATCAGCTCACGTTGCTGGTTTTCCCGGCGCCTCCCGGCGCCGAAAACGGCCATGTATCGAGGAATGGGCCCCTCGGTGGGGCCGAAACCAGGTGCACGCAGCAGATTTCGTAACCCCCCCTTTCCCAATCCCCCCGCTTCGTCCGGCCCGATATTGGAAGGCGGTGGAGATGTCGGACAGAGTGACTGTTCCGGCCGGCCCTCCAGGAACACCGTGGCTGGGCACATGCCGCCGACGGAACTGAGAGTGTACACAAGGCTCCAGTGATTTGCTGCTGGAGAGGGGGATGTGCCACAGGACGATGTCAAAAGGCTGGGCCAAAGGGGGGGATAGCACAGGGGGGGTTTGAGAATCAGCTCACGTAGCTGGTTTTCCCGGCGCCCCCTGGCGCCAGAGGCGGCCAGGTGTCGGGGAATGGGCCCCTCGGTGGGGCCGAAACCAGGTGCGCGCAGCAGATTTCGTGAGCCCCCCTTTCCCAATCCCCCCGCTTCGTGCGGCCCGATCAAGGGGCTGGGCAGCGGTGGAGATGTCGGACCCAGACCCCCGACGTCGTGAATTTTTCATGACGTCGACCCCCAGCTGTCTGGACCCATTCCCCGGGACCGGTTTTTCGTCCTGGATCGTTTTTTGACGGTCCCGAGGCCCGGCAAGGGCCCCCAAAGGCTGAAAATGACGAAAAACCTCCCGTTGTGATTTTTTCACTACTCGAGGGGGTCTGCAGAGGGCTGGGCAGCGGTGGAGATGTCGGATGCAGCGTGACTGGTCCGGCCGGCCCTGCATGGGGGCACCGCGGCGGGGCACACGCCAGGGCCGGGGGGGGCCCCGCCCCCGCCCCGCGAGCCTCGCCGGAGCCCCGGAGCGCGAGGTACCGTCCGCGAGACTCCACGGAGGCAGAGGCCCGCCGCGTGTGAGGAGGCCCCCCCGGGGGCTGCGCACCCATGGGTTGGGTCGGGCATGTCCCCCTACAGGAGGATTTTGGGCGACTACATAAAACTTTTTGTTTATGTTCCCAAATCGCCAAAAATAGTCAAAGAATCGTTCCCAGACTCATTTTTTGGCTATGTCTGAGTTTTCCTCCTGTAGAGGGACAGGCCCGACTTAAACCCAGGGCCCTGCGGTCAATAGAGAAAGAACAGACGGCATAATTAAGCAGAAACCATCGACGGTCCGCGCGGATTTCTTGGATCTTCGCTGGGCCCCCCTCCCTGGGGCGCGGAGCGCGCCAGGGGCGGCGCCGGAGGCGCCGCCGGGGGCCCTGACTCTGGATCCGCCCTACTTTGGGGCAAATCGTAAGTAGGGCTTGGAATTTCCGCCTTACTTTTCAAGCCCCGCTGATGCCAATTTCCGCCCTACTTTTCTGTTGTTGTTTCCGCCCTACTTCTGTGGATTTTCGCCCTATTTTATGTTGGGTGCAGAAATTTCCGCCCTACTTGTTCGGCTCCTTATAGGTGGATATCCGACGCAATTTTAAGTTGGAGAAAAAGCCAAAGTAGGGCGGATCTGGAGTCAGGGGGGGCCCCACGCAGATCCAAGAGATCCGCGCGGAGCGCCAAACGTGTTTATGTTTATGCAATTGTTTCTTCTTCGGGTCAAGGACTCTGGCCTCCGGCCCTGGCACTGACCAAGATCGTCACGGTCGGCAGGGAGGCCAACATTCGCACATCACTTAAAACAGGTGGGTCGATGGGCTGGGTTGGACGAGGACAAGAAGGTGACGCTATGCACAGTGAAATCGGGAGAACATTTACTGGGGGGGGCATGGGTGTGCGAGGGACGACAAATTGAGTGATGGGCAGAAACGGGACGGGATAGGGTCATGGGGTGAAAGGTAGTGGGGATGGCCGAGATGGGTACGAGCCATCGGATGGCAGAGGAGACGTGTAAACCGAGAAGTGTCACGGAGGACCAGGGACTGGAGAGAGATGGAGCAGGGAGAAGGGAATGGAAGAGGGTGGGGCGAGGAACGGGCGGTGCAGGGGAGGGGGGCGAGAATCCGAGGAACGAGCGCTGGGAACAGGCGAACGCCATGAAAGGCCACGGGGGAAGCCGCCCCGCCACCGACTCCATCGTCTCCTCCAGCTCCGACACGGTGAGGAATCCGGTGCCGGACTTGTTCATCCGGTGGAAGAGCTGCGTCATCTCCTGGGCAGCAGCAGGGGGACGAGACGAGGGCCAGCTGGAACCTAGCTATCCCGACCAGAGCCTGGACGACCAGGCCGTCTTTCTCTCCAGCTGGCGACGCTGGGCCCCAGCGGTTCTCGCAACGGCAGTCCTTGCTGCCACCGCCCTCCGTTGCTCTCGCGCACCCTGCCGCTGCGGACCTTGGAGTGCCCTGCGCAACGCCGGGCCTTGCTGCCGCTGCCCACCCTGCGCGAGAGGAGGGAGAAGGGGGGCGGGGAACGAGGAGGAGGGGGAGCGATGGGGTGAGGGGAGGAGGGGGGGATCTGCTGATGGCGTGTATGCTACTGGCGCACTTTTTCAACCAGGCAGGCACGCTCAAGGCGCGAGAATCATCGGAGACGACCCTGGGCCACCAACTCTACACTTGAGCACCCTTGAGTGCAGTGCCGGCACGCGCCGAAAAGCTCGATCCAACGTTGCAGACGGAGGAGAAAAACGAACGAATGTGTGGGAAGAGAACGAGTGGTTGAGAAACGAGGCGAGGGCGACGAAGACATAGGGGCAAACATTGAGTGAACAGCCCGGCTCTCGGTTTGCTACGGCAGGTTCGTGTCGTGCCGACCCCGGCGTTGGTTTTTGACACCGCAGGGATCGTTCCCTTCAACGATCGGCCGCTGCCGCAACGACCGATCGTTCCACACCGATCGCTTCTGGGTCGCCGGCGGCGTTCAACCTGGAACGCCCGCGCTGGGGTCGCCGCTGGTCGACACGACGCAAACCTACCGCAGGCCGGGCGTCAGGGACGGGGGAGGAGGAGGAGGAGGAGGAGGAGGAGGAGGAGGAGGAGGAGGAGGAGGAGGAGGAGGAGGAGGAGGAGGAGGAGGAGGAGGGGGGAGGACGGGAGGCCGACTGACTGGTGGCACGACGGGGCGCCTTCGGACCGGATCCACGGGTGCACGGACCCTTCGGGCACGGCGGGCGCAGCCCCGCCACGACTGCCACCCCTCCACACGCAGGCGCCTCGCGAGCTCGGGGGAGGAGGTCTGCGTCAGTCCATGCGCGCCCCCGTCCATGCATCCCACTCCTCCCCCTTTCCCTCGCCGCCGTCCTCCTCCTCATCATCAATGTCCTCGTTGTCGACATCCTTCGCCTCGTCCCTCCCCTCCCCCTGAGATCCGACGTCGAGACGAAACATATACAACAGCCAGTCACCTGGGCAATGCACACAGCATACTCCACATCTTTCTGCGGCATCTCCTGGGCAGGATCGGCCCGTGAGGAGAGCAGGGGCCCGACACCATGTGAAAACACCCGGGGCGACATGTTGGGACGCCCGGTCGTCCTCGTCCGCCTCCGCGGAGGGGCACGTCGACGAGCGCAACTTCGTCGCGAGCGTGCGCGCTCGAGTCGGCCGCCAGCGGACGCGAGCCCCCTGCACGACTGCCCCGCTTGGTCGCCCGCCCTTCTGCCAGCGGCCATCCTGCTTCGTCATGTTGACCTTCGACGCGTTCGTCAAGAAGTCCATCCACTCCTCCATGCACTGCAATTCGGAGATCATGAGATATCGGTACCGCCACTCTCGGGACCTCTCTCGGGGGGCGTTCTGGCCAAGCTTTCGCGGCACATCCAGCAATGGCGACGAAGAGCTTACCGCTTACACGCGGAGGTCATGCTACTTGAATGACAGCAGTCGCAACCCGACCAGATTCGAAACTCTCCCACTTTGTTCCCCTCCCGCTCCCAGGTCCGCCCCGCTTCCCCAAACAGGGTTCGTACTTCGAGTTTTGTTGCTCCCACCTTACTTACTTAGGGGCCACATCACAGAAATAATTCCGAGCACCCAAGAAAGTATCGAAACAGTGTCGAACGAGTATCGCCTCCCAGAGCCCGACACGTGAACGCCCTCCAGCTTCGGCACTGTCTTCGTGCCCGAAGAAATTCTGTCTGGCGGCTCAGGCTATAAAGTGGGTCTGAACAGCACAGGCTTAGAGGCCGTTGCTTCCGAGCGGGTCTGCCAAGGTTGCGCCCGCTTAGCGCCTTGTGGGCGCCTCGTGGGGAGGAGGAGGAGGAGGAGGAGGAGAGGGAGGAGGAGGAGGAGGAGGAGGAGGAGCAGCAAGAGCAGGAGGAGGAGGAGGAGCAGGAGGAGGGCAGGAGCAGGAGCAGGAGGAGGAGCAGGAGAGGAGCAGGAGCAGGAGGAGGAGGAGGAGGAGGAGGAGGAGGAGGAGGAGGAGGAGGAGGAGGAGGAGGAGGGGGCCCGCGTGCGCCGGCTGGGTCCGCCGTCCGCCGAGGTGGGCGCCCCGGTGGGGCGCCCCGTGGGGGCCCCGTGCGCCATGGTCCGCCGACGGAGGGCGCCGGGGGAGGGCGCTCGTGGGCGCCTCGCAGGCGCCCGCGTGCGCGGGCGGGGTCCGCCGGGGTGTCGCCCCGAGCTCGGGGCGACACCCCGGCTCGGGCGCCCCCGAGCTCGGGGTGTCGCCCCGAGCTCGGGCGCCCCTAGGGGCGCCCGCGGTGCGCCGGCGTGGGGCCCACCGCAGACCCCCTCGAGCAGTGGAAAAAATCACGACGGGAGGTGTTTCGTCATTTTCAGCCTCTGGGGGCCCTTGCCGGGCCTCGGGACCGTCAGAAAACGACTCGGGATGAGAAGCCGGTCCCAGGGAAGGGGTCGAAACCTCTGGGGGTCGACGTCATGAAAAAATCATGACGTCGGGGGTCTGGGACGGCAGATGGCACCACGGGGCTCACAGCACAGAGACTACACCACAGAGCCTGCACCACACAGACTGCAGCATCCCAGCGCGCGCACCACAGGTGTTGCACCACAGAGTGCAACACACACACACACACACATCGATTGCATCACACAGCATGTAACGCCTAGGGTGCACTACTTAACATGAAACTCGTATGTTAATTTGGCGAGTGCCAGAACGCTGGAGTGTTTTAACACATACCGAGTGCCACAACGCTGTTTGGGGTCCACGCTGACAAGCATCTGATCACCAATAGAACTGTCGAGGAGGACGCTCAGGGAAGGGCATACCTGTACACGGCACCTGTGCAGGAAAGCGTTCACTGACTACTGCACCCGATACGAGCGTCCAACTGAAAAAGGATGTCAAACTGTCACCTTTGCAATACCGTCTCCCCCGAGCAGTGCGATTCAAGTACTGAGGTTGAATACGCATAGGCCTGGTGAGAGCCTTCTCCCAAGGGCCACAAGTCCAGCAAAGTCAAAGACATGGTGCCATCACGGGGCTGACTATGATTCCAGATAGTTCCCCACGCACTCAAACGTCGACGACCGAAACTTCGTCTAGATGCTACCATCCTGAATGTTTTTGATTATCCCCATGGTATCGTAACTCACAGCATCGACAATAATGGTGAGAGGGTGGCCGAGGACGGGCGACTGCAGCGGACAGCACCCCGTAGCAACCTGCCTGGCAGCACAACGACTAGACCGAGCAGCAGCAAGTGCGCGGGTAGAGGGTGCACGGCTACACGCTCTCCACACATCCTGTACCGGGCCGAATGGACTGCAACCAGAACTCCAGATTTCGAAAATAAAGGGAGGGGGGTCTCATTTCGGGAGGGGGGGGTCTCTTCCAGGCTATCTTGGAGGGCCTGGGGGGTCTGGGGACGATGTTTTGGAGGGTTCTCCCACGGGGGAGGTCTGAAATGGCTTGTCTTGGAGGGTCCAGGACCCCCTCCCTTTTGTTACGAAATCTGGAGAACCCTGCATGAACGACGGCATCCGAAAGCCTGCGGGCACAACCGCATGGAAGGTGTCTCTGCAAGGGGCGTCGAGTCGGCACCGCGCGACCCGCCGCAGCGATCGCCGTGCCGCGGCGCCCCCGGGGCAGCACTCTCGGATCCCCGCGCTCTGCTCGCCAGCGCGGGAGATTTCTCCCGTCGGCGGCGAGCCAGACCGTCCGCACCCGCGTGGGGCTCCTCGGAGCAACCGCGAAAGGCGAATTGTCCGGCGTGCAAAACAGGGGAGGGGCGGAGACGAGGGCGGCACGCGCCACGCGAAGGCGCTCTCGAGCGGTCTGGCTCTTCACGCGGCGCGCGGAGCCTGTGGATGTACACGGCGCTCCACGGAGGCCGAGGAGGCAAGAGCTCCGACCGGCCAGGGGCGTCCAAGCAGGCGCGCGCTGGAGTAGTTAGGCCGGGGCTCGCGTGGGCCGAAGGCCCCGAGTGGTCCGTGAAACTCTGGGCCGTCCGTGGGACCCAGGATGCGCGCCAGGGCTGCACACCGGCCTGGCGGCTGCCGCCAGGGAAAGCGAGACGGGCCCGCGCCTGTTGCAAAATGACTCAGTCAGAAGACGGGTTCTTGGAATTCGGAATGGGAACCGGGCAAGATCCCAACAGCTGGATGATAGACCAGCTGCTGGGATAGCCGTGCGGAATGTTGAGTGTTACACATCAGAACGTGAGGGAGATACACATGAGGAAAACAAGCGCCTGCGAGGGGCAAGACACCAAACTCACCATGCGCACACGACATCCCCCTCCCCAGCTCTCCTGACAGTCTGGAGGCTGGTTTACAAGCGGTCCCATACAAGGCGACGGGGAGTCAGAGGCGCGCGGTCCTCGAGGCTCAAGAGCCTGTTCTGGTTCTTGTCCGCGGTCATCCAGATGTAGCGGGGGCCACCGCTCGAATGGAACCTCGGCGGGCATCTGCCGTGGCCGAATCGAGCCGAGCCCCTGGCCGAAGCGGCTCCCACCCCTTCCCGGCCTGCTGCGCCTCCTCCCCCCCCAACATTCCTGTCGGCCTCTCTCCCTCCCTCGTCGGTGAGGCCTCCGTGTGCGCGTACGGTACGCTTGCTCGTGCTGTCCCTCCTCTCCCCCCCGCTCCTCCCCCCGTGTCTTCCGCCTGGGCCAGCGTCCGGCGGAGGCGCCCTCCTCCCGCGGGCGGGCCCCCGCGGAAGCGACGTGCCGCGCCCGAGGAGAGGCGGCGGCTCAGCGCGGCCGCGCCACCCGGGGGGCACTCGCTATCGCTCGGACGTCCATTCCCTGTGATTTTTTGTCGGTTTCGTGCGTGGCTTTTTCGCCGCAAATGATCAAGGATGCACCTCGATGGTCCTCGCCGAAGGAAAAATGCACACGTCCGAGCGATGCCAAGGGCAATCCCTCCCAGCGCGCTCCGGTGGCCTCCGGCCGGCGGCCGCCGCGCTCCCGGCCGCCCTCCTCGCCAGGAGTGGGGGGGGAGGGCCGAACGGTCACTCCCTGTCCCGGGTGCGCGGCTGAGAAGTGCGGCTCCGCTGCTCGGAGGCTGCTCGTTGTGTGCGTTCCCGCTGTTTGCGCTGTCGTCGCCGCCCTCGCCCGCGCCCCGCCCCGCGGCAGGCCCGCGAGCCACCGAGCGACCCACCGCGCGACCCGCCCCGCGACCCGCCACGCGACCCTCCACGCGACCCACCTCGCGCCAACCCCATCACTCCCACCCGCAACTGCGGGGCGCTCCACAAACATTGAAGGCCACGCGAGGGGAGAAGGAGAGGGAGAGAGAGAGAGACAGAGAGAAAAAAAAACAGAGAGAGAGAGGGGGAGAGAAAGAGGGGGAGAGAGAGAGAGAGAGGGAGGGATAGAGAAGGAGAGAGAGAAGGTGCGCAGAAAGAGAGAGAGAGAGAGAGAGAGAGACAGAGAGAGAGAGGGAGAGAGAGAGAGAGGGTGCGCAGCGCCCAGCTGGGCAAGGCATAGGGGGGCCTCGCGCGCTCCCGGCCCAGCAGGCGCGGCGGGGAGGGCAGACCGCCCTCCACGCCCGTGGCCTGGCGAGGGCCCCCGCCTCCCCTCGGGCGGCGCACCCCTGGCGGGGGGGGGGGTCCACACGTGTTTTGTTCGATGCTCCCCGATCCCCCCAGGCGCTCCCAGGCGCTCCCAAGCGCTCCCAGGCGCTCCCAGGCGCTCCCAAGCGCTCCCAAGCGCTCCCAGGCGCTCCCAGGCGCTCCCAGGCGCTCCCCCCCGCTGGAGATCGAAGGTGGAGTCGGGCCTTCGGGTTGGGCTGGGGTGGTCTGGTAGGTGGTGACCCCCCTCCCTCGCGCGCGCGCCGCGCCGACTCCGCGCCCGCCTCGCGCCCGGAGGCGAGCGAGGCGCGGGCCGGCGCGAGGCCTCTGCACGCCCGCTGGCCTGGAGGGCGGGGCTCCGGAGTGGCGCGCGCAGACAGCCCCCCCTAGGTGGCGTTAGAAGTCGGGCGCGTGTCCCCCTACAGGAGGAATGCTCAAAAATAGGCAAAAAAACATGCGGGGACGGTTGTCCGACGATTTGTTTGACTATGTTTCCACATCTTTGGCTATTTTCAGCTTTCCTCCCCCAATCCGCCTGCAGGCAAACATGCCCGACCTGAAGGTAGCGCCGGCTGGCCTCAGCAGGCCCTCCCGAATAGTCCGAGCTGGCCTCAGCAGGCCCCCGAGTGGTCCAGGGCGACTTCAGCATCCTGGCGCCGCCTCCAGCGGCACCGCCCAAGGGCTGAGGTGTTGAGACCGCCCCCGTCGCAAGGCCCGATGAGGCCAGCTGGGGCCTGTCGGAGAGCCTGCTGAAGGGCGGTCTGCGCGCAGCCCGAAGCGCTCCCCCGGAGAATCCCCCGCCAGAGCTGTTCCCGAGGTCGTCCCACGGCGTGCCCGCAAAGGCGCCCTCGCCTCCGGGACCCCCCCACCCCAGGAGTCCCGACAAGAAACGGCTCGCGCACAGAGTCGACGACGACGACGACGACGACGACGACGTCGACGTCGTCGTCCACCACGACCACGACCACGACCACGACCACGACGACGACGACGACGACGACGACGACGACGACGACGACGACGACGACGACGAGTCTGACACTCGGCCGAAGGCGCGGCTGCGCTGGTTGCGACGCGGCGGCGCGGCGGGGTGCGACGAGCGCAGTGCGGTAGAGCCCTTCGCTCCTCCTCCCTTCCTCCTTCGCTCGAATACGGCGATGACTACGGAATTGGCGTGCACTCCAGCCGAATATGCAAGAAACGCGTATACTGCTCGTAGACCTACGGGACATTACACGCATCTTTCGTAGATCCTGCGGGGGGATCAAAATTGTGGTTTACTTACGCACAACGAAAGATTTCCCTCTTGAGGTGTGAATGGCAATGAGGAGTTCGCGAAATAACATCGGCCCCGCCGAACGGACGGTGTCTGGACGAGCTGCGTGCAGCAACTGGCGAGAGAGAGACGCACTCATGTTGAATTGGGCCCACACTCGCGGAAAATTGATGGGAGTGCGCGGGACAGCGCAATGCCCATTTTGGGGAATTGATGACCCAATCCGCCTCCCCCGTTAAATCTTAACACGGGCGGGTCCGGGGGTCCGCGGAACCGATTTCTTCCGGTTCCCCGGGATCCAGGGTCCGCGGAACCGATTTCTCCCGGTTCCCCGCTTAAACCAACAAAAATACACCGGAGAAAAAAAATCGGGTCCACCGTAATTACAAAATCGGACCTGACACGGATCCAGAAAATCCGGGATCGGATCCGCACGGACGGAAATCGGATCCACCGAAACAGAAACCTAAACCCCGCTTTGGATCCGCGCGAACTTAATTGGATCCCACGGCGGTGATTTCATAAGCGTCTGCCCAAGACTTCAAAGCGTCGTTCTCGGCCCAACAGGAAAAAACCTTCGTCCTGGGGATGGGCGTTTCGGCCTTCGGACTTGTTGGTTACCACGTGGCCGACACACCACATCTCACCAAAATTCCCCCGCCACGTGCAGTCAAGTTTTCCCGTTCGAGACGTCCCCGCAGACAAATAAAACAGACCAAAACATCGTGCCTTTGGCTGCCCGTTCGAGACGTGCTCCCGAAAACCCGCGCCTTGCATTCGGAATCGAGGTGGGCCACGCCAAAGCCCGACATGCAAGGGAAGACACCCTCCTCTTCTAGCATTGCACTGAACTCCAGATCGTGCTGGGACATGCCGGCGCCCAAAACATAACAGGAGCCCTTCCTGCCCACGATCGCTTATGCGTGGGAGGCGGAAAGGATGATGAGGAGGAGGAGGCAGTCCGTTGAGTCAGGAGATGCAGGGCCGAAACGCACTTACGCAGGACGAAATATCTCCCTCTTGAGGTGAGTTCGCGAGATAAAATCGGCGCCGCCGAACGGACGGTGTCTGGACGAGCTGCGTGCAGCAACTGGGAAGAGAGAGACGTACTCATCTTGAATGGGGCCCACACTCGCGGAAAATTGATGGGAGTGCGCGGGACAGCGCAGGGCCCATCTTGGGAAATTGATGCCCGAAACCGCCTCCCCCGTTAAATCTTAACACGGGCGGGTCCGGGGGTCCGCGGAACCAATTTCTTCTGGCTCCCCGTTCAAATTAAATAATAAAAATTCAAGTCGGGGTAACAAGTCGGGTCCGCCGTAAGAAAAATCGGGCCGTACGCGGATCAAATAAATCCGAAATCGGACCAGCACGGACGGACATCGGACCACCGAAACAGAAACCCAAACCTACATTGGATCCGCGAGAACTTAATTTGATCCCACGGCGGCTATCTCATACCCGTCTTGCCGAGACATCAAACCGTCGTTCCAGGCACATGTTGAAAAAGCTTTCGTCCTGGGGATGTATCAGCTCTGTGGTCGACCCCCTACTCGAATCGTCCAGCCTGCTCTCCCAGGCGGCGAGCACATCACTATCCGCGCCCTCGCGGTCTGGACTCCGGGGCGCGATCCCGCGAACACGCAGCCGTACAGGCCTCGGACAAAAATTAGCGAACACTCATGCCACATTCATCTGTGAACGCCTCCCCCTTCCCCCAATGTTCAAAGTTGGCGGTGGGTCTGATGAGTTGCACCTCGACCGCAGTCTCCCCCCCCGCGTGCCAACTTTGAGTTTTGGGGGCAGGGGGGGTGTTCACTAATTGTTTCCCTCTACCGTACGCATACGCGTTCCGCGGAAGGGGCGTCCGGGGGAACAACGGCGCCCCGTTGTCCGCGGGGCCGCAGCCCAGGGGCCCGGCCTGCGAGGCCGCGGGTGCGGACATGTTTTCCGACCACGAGCTCCTCCTCTGGAGGAACGCACCACGGCATTATCGTAAACTTTCGGAGGGCCGCGCGGATTTCGTGGATCGGCGCTGGGTCCGCCTTCCTGGCGCGCGGAGCGTGCCAGGGGCGGCGCCAGAGGCGCCGCCATGGGGCCCCAGCGACGATCCAAGAATTCCGCACGGAGCTCCGAGAAGCTATGTTTGTGATTTGTTTTGCAATTCGACCTTCCATTCGTCCCTCGTCCGACATTTGCTGGATGGCCTTTGTGTCAATTACCCTGTGGCGTACCCAACCCATTTGTATCATGGGAAACGAGGAGTTGGCCGAAACTTGCATGGACAATCAAATTGCAGGATCCGTTGTTTGATATGTAAGCTACTTGGGACACGCGCCTATGGCATGATGCGCAGGAGAACCATATAAGAACGAAGGGGCGACAACTACAGGCTCGAAGAGGACATGGGGAGTCGGGAACGAAGAGCAGGAGAAAGACGTGCGGGAAGCCCACTGTGCTGGGCCCCCCAGCAGGCCTCGAAAGTGGCGACAGTTTCACAGATCGCAGCCCCCCAGGGATGGCGAGGTCTAATTTGAATCCGCGGTGACTACCCACTGTGCTGGGCCCCCCAGCAGGCCTCGAAAGTAACGACAGTTTCACAAATCGCAGCCCCCCAGGGATGGCGAGGTCAAATTTGAGTCTGCGGTGAGTACCCACTGTGCTGTGCCCCTCAGCAGCCCTCGAAAGTGGCGACAGTTTCACAGATCGCAGCCCCCCAGGGATGGCGAGGTCTAATTTGAGTCCGCGGTGTGTACCCACTGTGCTGGGCCCCCCAGCAGGCCTCGAAAGTGGCGACAGTTTCACAGATCGCAGCCCCCCAGGGATGGCGAGGTCTAATTTGAGTCCGCGGTGTGTACCCACTGTGCTGGGCCCCCCAGCAGGCCTCGAAAGTGGCGACAGTTTCACAGATCGCAGCCCCCCAGGGATGGCGAGGTCTAATTTGAGTCCGCGGTGTGTACCCACTGTGCTGGGCCCCCCAGCAGGCCTCGAAAGTGGCGACAGTTTCACAGATCGCAGCCCCCCAGGGATGGCGAGGTCCAGCAGCCAGCAGGCCTCGAAAGTGGCGACAGTTTCACAGATCGCAGCCCCCCAGGATGGCGAAAATTGAATCCGCCGTGTGTACCCACTGTGTTGAGCCCCCCAGCAGGCCTCAAAAATAACGACAGTTTCACAGATCGCAGCCCCCCAAGGATGGCGAGGTCCAATTTCAACCCGCCGTGTGTACCCACTGTGCTGGGCCCCCCAGCAGGCCTCGAAAGTGGCGACAGTTTCACAGATCGCAGCCCCCCAGGGATGGCGAGGTCTAATTTGAGTCCGCGGTGGTACCCACTGTGCTGGGCCCCCCAGCAGGCCTCGAAAGTGGCGACAGTTTCACAGATCGCAGCCCCCCAGGGATGGCGAGGTCTAATTTGAATCCGCCGTGTGTACCCACTGTGCTGGGCCCCCCAGCAGGCCTCGAAAGTGGCGACAGTTTCACAGATCGCAGCCCCCCAGGGATGGCGAGGTCCAATTTGAGTCCGCCGTGTGTACCCACTGTGCTGGGCCCCCCAGCAGGCCTCGAAAGTGGCGACAGTTTCACAGATCGCAGCCCCCCAGGGATGGCGAGGTCCAATTTGAATCCGCCGTGTGTACCCACTGTGCTGGGCCCCCCAGCAGGCCTCGAAAGTGGCGACAGTTTCACAGATCGCAGCCCCCCAGGGATGGCGAGGTCAATTTGAATCCGCGCGTGTGTACCACTGTGCTGGGCCCCCCAGCAGGCCTCGAAAGTGGCGACAGTTTCACAGATCGCAGCCCCCCAGGGATGGCGAGGTCCAATTTGAATCCGCCGTGTGTACCCACTGTGCTGGGCCCCCCAGCAGGCCTCGAAAGTGGCGACAGTTTCACAGATCGCAGCCCCCCAGGGATGGCGAGGTCAATTTGAATCCGCCGTGTGTACCCACTGTGCTGGGCCCCCCAGCAGGCCTCGAAAGTGGCGACAGTTTCACAGATCGCAGCCCCCCAGGGATGGCGAGGTCCAATTTGAATCCGCCGTGTGTACCCACTGTGCTGGGCCCCCCAGCAGGCCTCGAAAGTGGCGACAGTTTCACAGATCGCAGCCCCCCAGGGATGGCGAGGTCCAATTTCAATCCGCCGTGTGTACCCACTGTGCTGGGCCCCCCAGCAGGCCTCGAAAGTGGCGACGGTTTCACAGATCGCAGCCCCCCAGGGATGGCGAGGTCCAATTTCAATCCGCCGTGTGTACCCACTGTGCTGGGCCCCCCAGCAGGCCTCGAAAGTAGCGACAGATTCACAGATCGCAGCCCCCCAGGGATGGCGAGGTCAAAGGCAGGGGGGGGAGAGAGGGACGGGAAGGAAGGAAGGAAGAAAGGAGACGCGCGAGCAGTGCTCTATTCAAAACGAGAACCCAACGCAGGAGGGTTGGGAATAAGCTGGTATACAAAAAGGCCGTCGCGTAACAACAAGCGCCCTCTCGGATGACCTTGGCAGGCTGAGTGGGGAGGAGCGTTGCGGAGAGTGCAGGAAAGTAGGGAAACCCTCGAGGGCATAGAACTTTCAGACCTTGTGTTGCATCTACGGGGACCTTGTCTGTCCCGTCGCGCCGCAATACACATCGAATCCGTGTCGAGTCCATGCCGAGCGCGTCGACCCCGTGCCGAAGCGCAGTCGAATCCGTGTCGAATCCACACCGAATCCGCGTCGAACCCACGTCGGAAGAACAGGCATCTCTTCACAGGACGATGAAGGTCCCCTGGATATGCAAAGTAAGTTTTAGAACCGCGGGCGACAACAAGGAAGTTCGAGGAGGCCTCCCCGAAGGCCTCCTTCGTCCAGCCTGCTGACTCGAGGTGGCCGCCCCTGAGGACCCCCCAGGAAGTCCGTCGCTGCCCTCGTAGCAGACTGCAGCCCCGCGCCACGGCTCCCCCCTACGGCCGCTCGCCGAGGGGCAGTTAGAAGCCTCCCTGATGGGGGACACACATCGAAAAAAGACGTACGCGCCCAACCACGTACATGAACCCGCCCCCCCCCAATCCACAAGGACCAGTCGCGTGACACGAACGCTCGCAGCATTTTTCGGCCTCGTGCGCGCAGCTGTTCTTGCGCAGGATCGTCCAGGATGCTCCTCCGTGATCCCCGCCGAGACAGAGTGCACGCTTCCGCGCGATGCCAAGCTCTGGGAGGCCCGGAGCGAGGCAATCCTCCCAGTGCGGAACGGCCCTGGGCCCCCCCTCGCTCTGCCGGCGGCGGCCGCGCGGGCAGCACGGGGCCGACACGCCGGGAGGGCGCGAGAGAGGGGAGAGCTCGGTGGCGCGTGGGCGGGCCTCCGCGCGGAGGCGGGGGAGGAGGGAGCGGCGACGGCGAGCGCTGCGCCACCGGAGGCGGGGGACGGAGCAGGGACCGGCCGTCCCGGCATTGCTGGGAGGCCCACCACGGCATGTTCTCCGAACCCCAGAGGGTTCGAGGAAAAACGACAGCGCTCGTAGAACGTTAGCCCCGATGTGCTCAAACAGGACGGCCTCGGCCAGAAATGTTGCAAGAACATGTCGTGCAGACCGCGAAAGGTGCTTAGAGCATTGCTTGGTGAGCCTGTAGGCAGGCCAGGACGCTTCGCCGCTGCTCGAGGGAGAAAGGGCGGACGGAGAGGCCCGCAGCGAGGCAACATCCGGCGTCGCTCGGGCGACGAGGACGACTGGCGAGCAAGCCTTGAGGAGACGTATGACTCGGGCTCGGGGGGCTCGGGTCGGCCTGACGGGGCCATATCATGAAAATGACGAGACCCCATCTGGATCTGCCGCATCTGCCAGAGTCCTGGCCTGCAGAGTGCTGGTTCACGGGGCCCCGACACGCAGCACGTCTGGGATGGCCGGGCAAGATCGACCGAGGCGGGGGGAGCCGTGCACAGGCTCACCGCAGGCTCCGGGGAAAAGCGGGACTGGATGCGCAGCGGAAAGCGAAGACGGCGCCTCTTGTAGAGATGTCGAACAAGCACGTCGAAGTACTCGTCCGAAATATCACCTGGGCGCGAGCCACCGCAACCAGAACTGATATGCAAGTCTGCGAGCACGCACGCGGGGAAACCCCCAATGGTCACAACCCGTGCTACCGTATCCCCCTTCTCATGTTACAGCTCCGTTTCCCCGATACCTTATCAGTCCATGCAGTCTTCCTCGTTGTACAGCTGCTGTATTTCCGATCTTGGAGTACACATGCGAGAATGAGGCGGCCAGGAGAGCTGCATGCTGATCATGCGCCCACAGCAATACGACTGGGACGAACTTGCAAGGGAGAGGGGAGCACATACAGATGCAAGGGCACAGGTGGACATCTGGGCCCATATGAGGTGAAAGAAAAGCATTGCACACTCAAGCGACAATGGGCGCGAAATGACAGCATGAACTGCGAATTCGCACAAGGCTCGAACAAGCTTCACTTCGCAGATTCACGCGTGACCGAGCGCCAATGAGTGAGGGGGTGACTGCGGATGCGTGCTTGGGCCGGTTGCACGGTTGTAGCAGCCAAGCGGCTGGCCATACTTATAACAAAACCCGACCAATAATACATGGTGGTCTTGCGTCGACCCATGCCGTCATCCTGAGCAGCTCTCATCCTTGGCTGCGGCTTGGGCTAGGAGGTGAGGGCATCGGTAGACAATCATATTTGCTTAATATCTCGCTGCGCGCACAAGTAGACTCAATTCCAAGATTATCAACGCCCCTGGGCAATTCAGGTCGAGCGCATCTGTGGTCATGCCACTTCGCGTCGCCTTCAGTGACAACTTATCCTCGTGGTAAACCTGTACTCTGCCAATGTATCTCTATCGTGTCTGTCTGAATGGCAGACAAGGCCAAAAACTCAGCGACCATCCTGGGCACAACCAATCCGCTACCAATGGGGCACTTGCCCGTTATGAATAAGTACGACGTGTGTCAACAGTCACTAACCGACGAGAAGAACGAGGCAACACCAGGAAGTCAGTACACATAACGTTGCCAACCCTGTTGTCAGTGCAAAGACCTGAGCCGAGGTGGATCCGATATTGGTGTGAGTTGAAGAGGTGCATTCGAATGCACATGGCGGCAGTTCAGCCAGCTCCGGCGGCAACGAACCCACACCAATAAACAACGACGCGGCGAGTAGACTCCAAACCATCCAGTGAATCCCAGTAGCTTCCGTTGTACTTCTGATTGCAGCTCTGGCCTGTCCATGAACTCACATGTGTTATGCTGTCTGAAGAAAAAGACGTGCATTAGCTTGGCTTGCTGTGGTCATCAAATCACTTTCCCTGGCCCACACTGAACACTAATTTACTGTTGCCCTTCACGTTCCCTGCTGGCACACGCACCCTTGGACGATTCAAAGCCCGATCGCCTGGGGAGAGCAGGAGAAGGGACAACAGCATGATCATCCAAAGCAGCAGCAGAACGCGGAAGGAGGTCGAGGTGGAGGACTACGACGACACGGACGAGGGAGGGGGCGAGGATCGGGGAGCGGGGAGGCAGCAGTTGGACAACGGAGGAGCGCGGTGAGCGGCAGGAGCCGCAGGAGCGAGGACTAGCAGCAGAGCCACAATTATGCACGAGAAAGAAGAGAGACGCCGACGACGAGAACGAGGAAGAGCCACTCGGCACCAGAAGCCAGGAATACATATATATATAGACAACCGTGACGAGGAGGAAGGAAGGATGAGCGAGGAGGGGGCGACGTGGGAGCAGAGGGCGACGGCAGGGCCGAGGAGAAGGAGGAGGGCGGCCGGGAGCCGAGGGGGTGGACGAGACAGAGGAGAAGGAGCCGAAGCAGGAAGCGGAGGCGAGAGTGGGATCAGAGGCCGAGACCAGAGCGACACCTGCTTCACGGATGCGCTATCGTCCAATCCTCCGCTAGCGCACCTACGATGCAACAGGGTCCTATCTGGCCGCGCCGCAAGAGGGACGAGAAGCAGCGAGGAGGGCGCCAGAGTGGCAGAAGTTTGACGAAGGCCTCCTCCTCCTCCTTCCTTCCTTCCTTCCTTCCTTCCTTCATCGCCGCTTCTCCCCCCTCACGTCTCCATGCTGTACCTTGTCTCCTCGTCCTCCCTAATCGTTCCTACCCTCATCCTGCTCCATCATGACTCCCCTCTCCGCCCCCTCGACCCTACCTCCTCCCAAAAAGCCGTCTCGCTGCTTCCCTCCTTCCTCCCTCCTTCCTCCCAGCCACCCCCCCACCCTCCTCCCGAGTCCTCCATCTCTCCCCCTCTGTCCCTTCCCCCTTTTCCTCCCCCGTCCTCCATCTCTATCTCTCTCTCTCTCTATCCCTCTCCCTTCCCCTCCCCCGCCCATCCTCATGTTTACAATTAAAACAACCAGCTAGCCCAGAGGATGGATGGGACGTCACAGCAGCCTGGTAGGGTTCAGAATTGGCAGCGATCTGCATCGAGTTCTCGGCATCCTAGGGTTGCACGACTAGCAGGACTAAGCATGCAACTAGCCATGTTGATAGCGCGGGGAAGGGGAAGTTGATGCCGCTCGAGTAGTGACACACCCACTGGCTCAGCAACTGTCGGCTCCCCATGGCTTCGCACCGAATGGCCCAAAGGCGGACCCCGAGATGCTCTCAAGATGGGGCCCAGGGACGGCCCAGAGAGGCCCTAAATCACTGAGCCCGAGCAGGTTTTGAAAAGGACGCTGAGAACTCCCGCTTTCGAGCCTCGGGGCACCCAGGACGGCCCAGAAAGGCCTCCAAGATGGCACCGAGGCGGCCCAAGAGGCACCCAAAAGAGCTCCCAGACGGCCCAACGAGACCCCAAGAGGCCCCCGAGAGACCCCGATAGACTCCAAGAACGGCCCGAGAGGGGCCCAAGCCGGCCCCAAGAGGCCACCCCAAGACGGTCAAGAAAACTGTCTAAAACAGACCCGAGGAGGCCCCAATGCGGGCTTCCAGGGGGCCCAGAGACGGCCCTAGACGCTTCTAAGACAGCCCTAGAGGCCCACAAGACGCCCCAGGAGGACCCCCAGGAGGACCCCCAGGAGGGCATCAAGACGAAAGCGCGTGTTGGTAAGATCCGACTCACGCAGCTCCGTGGATGCAACCCACGGGCCACCATTGCTTACATGTAGACGTACATGTACAGGGGTGACTGTTTGTGAATGTTTATATACACACATGTATGCATACATCTACATCTGCATGCATATATATATATATATATATATACATATTTACACACATAGGTATATACATATAGTATGATGTGCACTTCTCCAGGGGATCAGAGCTCAGATGCGATAAAATTGAAACCGTCTCCCCTTTTTGCCTGGCCGTTTCGCCGGGGCAATCCTCAGATTGTGAAAACTGAGCGCGCCTCTCTCGCACATCGCTAGGCCGCGGTCCAACAGCACAGCCTTTCTCATCAACCTTGACTTGAAACCTTCGAAAGAGCGTGTTCTACCGCTGCTGGCGGAAAACCGGGGGGGGGTCTCTGGGGGTTCCCAACCCGTCCCCCCCCCCCTCGACAACCGGGGGGAAATCACTACCAATTCGAACACCTCCCCCCCCCAATCCATCATGAACAGGGGGGGGGTCACTACCGGTTCGACCCCCCCCCCCCCCGAAAACCGGGGGGGGGTCACTACCGCCGGTTCGAACCCCCCCCCTCGCCGCTGGCAAACGACTCCCGCTCCTCGGAACTGTTGGACAATGGTGGGGATGCTGGGACAGTGGTGGGAACGGTGGTGGTGGGGACAGTGGTGCGGGGACAGTGGGACAGTGGTGCGGACAGTGGTGCGGACAGTGGTGGGGAGGGCGGTGGTGGGGGCAGTGGTGAGGGACAGTGGTGGGGACAGTGGGACAGTGGTGGGGACGGTAGTGGTGTGGACAGTGGTGAAGGCGGTGGTGAGGACAGTGGTGGGACAGTAGCACGGTGGGGAAAGTGGTGGGGACAGTGGGGACAGTGGGACAGTGATGGGGACAGTGGGGACGGTGGGACAGCACAGTGGGACAGCGGCGGGGACAGTGGGACAGTGGTGGGGACCGTGCGGAAAGTGGGGAGAGTGGGACCGTGGTGGGACAATGGTGGGGCGAGTGGGGACAGTGAGACACTGGTGGGGGCACTGGTGGGGACAGCGGGGACAATGGTGGGAATAGTGGGGACAGTGGGACAGTGGTGGGGACGGTGGTGGTGGGGACAGTGGTGTGGGGACAGTGGGAATGTGGTAGAAACAGTGGGACAGTGGAGGGTAGAGTGGTGGTGGGGACGGTGGTGAGGACGGCGGTGGGACAATGGGACAAAGGTACAGTGGGGACAGTGGTGGGAACAGTGGGACAGCTCAGTGGGACAGCGGCGGGGACAGTGGGACAGTGGGACAGTGGGGACAGTGGGACAAAGGCTGGGGCCGTGGGGAAAGTAGGGAGAGTGGGACAGTGGTGGGAACAGTGGTGGGGACAGTGGGGACAGTGCGACAATGGTGGGGGCACTGGTGGGGACAGTGGGGACGGTGGTGGTACGTAACAGTGGGGACAGTGGTTGTGAGAATAGTGGTGCTGGGGACAGCAGTGGGGGATGTGGTGCTGACGATGGTAGGGACCCAGGAGTCGTTTGCTGGCGGTGAGCGTGGGGTGGGGGGGGAGGGGTTCGAACCGGTAGTGACCCCCCCCGGTTTTCTGAAGGAGGGGGTTCGAACCGGCAAAGACCCCTCCCGGTTTTCTGAGGGGGGGGGAGGAGTTCGAACCGGTGACCCCCTCCGGGTTTTCGAGGGGGGGGGGGAGAAGGGTTCGAACTGGTAGTGATCCCCCCCCCGGTTTTCTGGAGGGGGGGGGGGGGTTCAAACCGGTAGTGACACCCCCGGATTTCCGGACGGGGGGAGGGGTTAGGGAGGGGGGTTTTGCTGGGGGGAAGGGGGGAAGGGGAGGGGATTTCGGAGGGGGGGGGGGGGGGCGGGTTCCGGAGGAAGAGGGGGGTGGAATTTTCCGTAGTAAAGCGGCGGTGGATCACGCTCTCTCAAACCTTCAAGGGCACAGGGCAATTCAATGAGGTCGCACAC